GTATTCAATACTATTTATATATCATAAAAAATTCTTTTCATTAGATATGAATCTTTATATAATATTTAATTTGAAAACTTTTAAAATTAATTTATAATAGCCGAACCTTAATTTAATTAATAAACTTATAGTTAAATTGAGCATCTAGATGAGAAGAATATAATGACACAAAAAGCAATTCAATCTGACTCCAAATGAATCCAAATCAAGCACTTGAAGTGTAGTTGAAAACTTCATGGATCAATTGATGGTTTAAATGAGATCTAAGAATCTTATATGTTTATAATCAAGTTGAATGTCTCAATGATTGAGAGGAATCTAGTGAAATCAATATTACTTGAGGTCATATATGATCTTTAATGTTAAAAGATTAGTTTATGATCAAAAGAATGAACCAAAGTCATCTTATGGAACAATTTGGGATTTTGGCTAAAATAACCAAAACATCACTCAAGAAACACATATTGCCCCCCTATAGGAATGAACCCAAGTTATCAAAGGGGGCAGCGCCCCTTGGCGGGGTTTGACTTGATTGGTTAGGTCGCGGGGTCAAAGGCAGCTTCCCTGCAGGGGTTTACGGTGGCAGCGCCCACAGAAAAAATTTTGGTTGTAAAGTTATTTTGAAATTCCGCTCATTTTTCGGCAACCTCTTTTTGTCCTATAAATATGTTGTAAATGGCTAATGGTTTGTATGCCGTTTTTTACTCCAGCTCTTCTCTATAGCGAAGTCGTTCTCCTAAGCTTCTCCACCATAGTTTTCACTATATTTGAGTTTTCCATGTAATTTTTTTGTGATCGTTTGTGTTTTACATATCGTAATTTATTATTTCTCTTTGTGCTTGGTTCATCATTCCCTAACAATAACACATCTACACAATGTGTTTAATTATGCTAAAGGGGCAATTGTCTAAAGACAATAGTTTTTAAATTTTTTTAGGAGGGGCAATTGCATAAAGTCATTTTAATAAAGTAAAAAATAGATGGTGGATGACAAACTGCCTAAAGAACCATGTAATAAAGAGTAATAAATAGTTTTGTTTTAGCCCCCTCCCCCGGGCTAAAGGGAGATCTGCCCCTGTTGTTAGCAATGATTTGACAAGCTCAAGCAATGGATAGTTATGGAAGCAAAAAATTTGCATGTAGGTTACAATTGATCAAATTTTCACTAAGCAAGTACATCTGGTACTTATTTAGATTTACTTGCATACCTAAAGGTGCTTTGAAAAAAATGAACAGTCTAATTTACAAGTTCTTATTTAACAATAGTGCTACTATAAAGACTTCCTGGGAAGGATGGTCTTGGATTTCTTTCTCCTACATTCCCCAGCTATGCATTTAAGATCTAAACCATCTGAAATTTTCTTTCTAAATCCTCCTTTATTAATTCTTGGTGGTGCATGAGATATGGCTCTCTTTGGAGGAATGATAATAATAACTTAAAACCTTTCAAGAAAAGCTCTAAAACCCATTAACACACTACTAGTAATTAAGGCTTTCGTCTATAACAATGTTCTGTACCGCTAATCAGGGGCGGAGCCATCATGTGGGGGCACAAAATATTGAAGTAAAAAAAAACCTTCAACCTTTTTCATCCGGGCTTGGGACCGGCATAGGTGGTTTTAATTTTTTTTTTTTAAACATTAGATTCATTATAAAAACATAAAATATATAGTAAAGCAAAAAACTTACAATTGAGAACATAGTCTTGATATTCTTCTTCTATGTTATCTATAATTTCTCTTGTCGAGTCTTTATTTTTTGAAATCGTTGTACAATCAAGTCATTGTCAATACAACTAAAAATATCTTTTTCAATATAAATAAGTAAACAGTCATTCATCCAGGAGTCTCCCATGCAATTGCGCAAACGATTCTTTATAATTTTCATTGTAGAAAAAGCCCGTTCAACTGTTGATGTAGCAATTGGCAATATCAGAGCAAGCTTTATAAGTGAGAACATCAAAGGAAATATATCATGCTTTCTTGCATGGGCGGATCCCCATGGTAGTGAGGGGGGGGCAAATGCCCACCCTCAAAAAAAAAATTTAAAATTTTAGAGGGTATTTTTTTGGTATATTTTGAGTATTTTGGGTATTTTGCCCCCTCTCAAAAAAATTTTTTGCCCCAATTTTATCAATTCTATTCATCTTTGTCCATCCTCTACAAAAAAAAAAATGTTTCTGTCCACCCTAAAAAAAGAACCTGGATCCGCCCCTGCTTTCTTGTCTCCACTAATTTCTGAGCAAGTTCTCCAAGTCCTTTTAAATTCATAAATGCATCACTCGATCTCATATCAACAATAAAATTTTCTATTTGATTGTCTAGTATGATGAGATCCATTTCAGAGAAATCTGGCTGATAAAATTTTGCAAGACGAAGCAATTGTTCTAGATCAGCATACCTTGCAGGCTTGCACGGCAGTTCTGAAACCAAATTTCAACCTTCTTGGCAAGAGCAAGCTTCTGTTTCTAAAGCTTGGCAAGAGCAAGCTTCAAATCTGATGATTGAGCTGCTTGGCAAGATCAAGCTTTTGTTTCTGAAGCCATACATAGCAAAAAAAATTGAAACTTATAATATGTTGAAAAACGTTTAAAGAAAAATATTTCAGACGAGATAGTGCCATAGTGGTAAATTACCGGGTTGAGGGTGCTGTGCGACGGTGAACGGGTGGCCGGCGGCGGGATTCGAATGACTCCGGCGCCGAGAAAAACAGGTCCGCCGTCCACGAATTTCTGCGGAATAGGAATAGGGAAAGGCGGAATAGGAATAGGGAAAGGCGGAAGGCATGTGTTATTATTGAGAGGAAATATTATTAATGTGTTACTATAACAACTTAATATTTATTTATTTAATGTTTCATAAATATTATTAATACTATGTTTTTTCCAAAGTCAGTGGGGGCCACTGCCCCCATGGCCCCCACACTGCATCCGCCCATGCCGCTAATCAAAAGCTTGCAATAGTTTACAATTTAAACGACGGCAAGACCACTGTATTTAATTTTTATTGCAAAATTTTTTTCGTAATGATTGATCAAAAGTTATGATTACTAGTTGCAAGTTTTCTTTTTGAATTAAATATCTACATTAGAAGATCATCTATTTTGAAGATGTTGGAGCCTAATTCCTCACAAATTTTTAATCTTCCACTCCAAAATCATTATTGAGCTAAAATTCATTCAGAATTTCAAACATATTTCATTATATTTAATCACTGAAGCTATATCCTTATTTTTTACTTATATTAAAGGATAGTTGGACGATTGTGACTTCACATATTAGTAACTACAATTAATTAGTGATAACATATTAAGATTAGTCTAATGATATTTTTGTAACTCATAAAAGACTCTGCAAACTCTCAACCTCTCCAGCAAGCTCAACATGCATGAACCTCTCACTTTATAATTATATGAATAAACTCATAAATTGTAATAGCCCAAATTTAATCATCGAGATATTGCTCATTTGGACCTAATGGCCTCATGACTCTGTCCTGTTTGTATAACTTCTAAGAGATTATCCACCCCAAAATTTCTCTTTCACGAGCATGCTTAACTAAGGAGTTTTTAATAAAATTCTGGCCATTATACTAAAATATACCTCGATGTTTAAAAGTTTAATTTCTTTTTACTTTAGAGCTTTCACATCTACTTAAACAAGAGGTTAAGTATGAATTGGTAAATTGCACTCAATTAGTTGAAATACATAGTTACTATAATAATAATAATAATAGTTTTCAGCTAATAAAGCTGGCTTGAAGACATGAACTCCATGACTTTCCAAAATACCCGGAGATCGCCACCGTAGTCTTTGCACTAGGGAATAATATTTTCACAAACAGAAAAATGCCAAAGACCACCTCATCCATGACATATTTATTACAGAAAAATTAACGATCGCATCACATTGTTTATTCTCTCTCTATGCTATCAAATGCCACATTCATGAGATTTATTTGGAAATGCTAGATCTAGCCCATATGCATGGAGAAATTATTACGTGTAGTCACTGGATTGTCCGGATTCAATAAGGATGTGCCACATCACCCGATACACATCGGTACACAATAAGATACATAGTAAATTGGCAACGTTTCGCGTCCTAACTAACCTCCATATGACATCCGATGACCGCACATAATAATTTCACATATGAATGTAGATGATTTACAAAGGAAATTTTAGTGATTTGAAATTTGATTTTACACCATAAGAAACACAACGTTATTTTTTCATGAAAAATCTTTAAAAAACTAGAAAATGTGCAAAATTCATCGGCAAATTAGGTTTTGTGACAAATCATCTAATGTAACAAATTTAGGAATCAATGAAAAATAGTAGTATTGATATCAATAGACTGTCACAATTCACATAATTAATCAGGATGTTCTTATTGCATTGTATCAAATCTACCCAATATTGCTTTTGAAAACAAAAAAGATTAGGTGTAGGCGTGTAGCTTACTTAAAATATGACTTTGGAAAAATATAACAATACATTCAACTCATCAAAATCATTCAAATAAAATGAGATAAAAAAGTTGAAAAATAATACATGATTATTTATAATTACTAAAAATAGTTAAAGAATTTTTAAAGTATTAAAAATTAGATGAATAGATAAAAAAAAAAAATCTAAAGAGGTTTATTCAATCAGAAGAGGGTTGCCATTTATTTAATATGTGAAAGTTATAAAAAATTTATTATATAAATTTAAAATTTATATTTTTATAAAATTCAAAATAATTTAGGATGCCCATTAGCCAAAAAGTGCTCATTCAGGAATGGGAATTTCAGGTAAAATTCTCAATCCGAGCTCCCATAGATAATACAGAAACCTTCGTCCTACTTCATTTTTCACATGTTTCACTCAAAAACGTAAAAAAAATCACGTGTATATATAATATATATCACTGCAAATCTGCAATCTCGGCCATTTTGTCTCGTCTGTAGATTGACAATTTTTTTGTTTGAGATTTTTATCTTGTTTTTTTTTTCTTCCCACTCCCTTCAGAAATGGCCAAAAAGCTGCAGTTTGTCAGCAAAATGTTTCTCCAACTCTTCTTCTTCTTCTTCCTACTTTCATCTACGCCACTGTCTTCGTCTCAAACCAATGAAGAAACCCAGACCTACTTGGATTGCAGTCCCCGGCCCTTCATCTGTGGAGGCCTCAACATCAACATCTCCTTTCCATTTCAAATAGATGGCCGGCCTCCTTCTTGTGGTCACCCCGGTTACGCACTTCGCTGTATTAAAAACACGACCTTGGTGACCACCATTAGCGACAGAGAATACCAGGTCTTAGCCATCGACTATGCCAACGTCCACATCGCCGTCGCCGACGCCAGATTTATCGGCAACTCCTGCCCTGTTCTCGCGGATAACGCAACCGTTGACCTATCCTTGTACAACTACACAGACCTCGATAAAGCTGTCACCTTGTTCATGAACTGCACATTTTCAGGTGGCCTTCCGCCGGGGCTTCACAACTTGAGCTGCTATGCGGGGAACTCCTCTTTTTATGTGGTTGGCGATGGAAGCTCGAATGGTGCGGGGGAGAGCTGTGGATCAGTAGTACAAGTTGTGATGCATCAGGCGGTGGTGGATTTGGTGATGAAGGATGAGGTTGGGCTTGGTGATGCTCTGCAACAGGGATTGACGCTCACTTGGACGGCCGGAGATGGGTGGTGCGACGCGTGCGTCGCCGACGGGGGGTTGTGTGGGTATAATTCGAGCTTGGTGAGTAAAAAACATTTGCATCTGTGCTGGTGGCTCGTGTTCTTCAGGTATGGGTTTAGATCTCTTCGATGTTTTTTTTTTCTCTTCTTTGGTATTCTGTTACGTGTTTGATGAAATGCTTAGAAGATGAATAATCTTTTTTTGTTGAGAAACACTTGAGAGTGATAATAATCACATATAAAAATCAAAATAAAATATTATTATATAATATTCTAATAGCGGTCATACGCTAGCTAATGCTCAACTTGGTTTACGATATTTCGCTCTCCTTAGATTTTTCTCATCTTGGAGCTTTACACGTAAATCAAATAGAGTTGTTAACTACTGCTTTGCAGTCATGAAAGCCAGACAACATTAATCGTTTCGTTTGCAATTACTTGAAATATTGGCCATTTGAAGCAATAATTATATGGTGGTATTGTTATCAGCTCTAGGTGCATGAGACTTAATGATCATGAAGAACTTGCATTTTTAGGACAGTGATGATTGAGGTAGCCTATTTTAAGGTGACAAGTGAAGAACTAGTAATCTGGAAAGTAGCAGTAAGAAGAATACCAGAAAAGTGAATGAAGAAGATAACAGAGACTGAGTATTTTTTATATTGATATGTTTCTTTTTTACTAGTCTTAATACTATGTTGATAAGGCTATATATAAATGTAAAGTGTACAACTTCTGGTGTTTGCAGAGAATATCCTTAGGATGCAATGGGGCGGCTTTGGTAGTTGGACAATAGTGCACAACACAGGTATTCTGAGAGGTTTGACTACTCTTGAACAGGTGGTAGCGGAGATGACAACAAACAAGGGTGAGATGGTGGCTTACTTATCAAGCTATAACCTATCACTGCCCCTCAAATTAAGTATCGAATGATTGGAGAGTTAATTTGTTGCGCAATTGTGTAAATTGCGAGGGTGAGAGAGCTTTGGTGGTGATGTGCGCAGGTTGGTTGGTGGAGTGGCATGCTGTATTGTGATTTCGTTGTAGTGAATCTTGTCTCAGATGAAATAATAGTCGATTTCTATGTGCTTTGTGCAAGCATGGAAGGCGGAGTTGTTCGCTAGCTCTATTGCTAAAATTTTTTACCAATGAAGGGGGGTTACAACTGTGCAGGGGATGTGGAAATCCTGTTGTAGTTGTCGGAGCCAAACTATATCAGATGTAGCAGCTGCTTGTGCCCTATACTAAACTTATGTTCAAGTTTTTGCTAAAGTGGGTGTTTTTTGACAATCTAGGATACTAGTGTTTTGCCTAAGTATGAGCATTAGCTAGTGGTAGATTTACGATCGTTGGGATCAGCGGCCCAGTCTGATTTGGAGTAGGAGTGTAATTCAAGATTGCTACGAGTGATTGGTAGGCCAAAATGAAGAGTACCCTTGATGTAGCAGAGTAGACATTTTATTTGCTGAAAATTTCTGTTAAGTGGATGGTGCATGGATTAGCAGAGTAACTTCATTGCAAAGGCAATGTAGGGTCTGGTGATAGTTAGATATTGCAATGATCTAATGGATCATCGTTGCATTTTGTGGAGGGGGTTTTGATGGAAGCTGGGGATGGTGCAAGTTTGCACTCTTCAAGGCCAAACTTGTGAAGTATATCCTTGGCGTATTGGGTTTGGTGGAGGAAATAAGAGTGAGGTGTAGAAGTCACTTGAATGCCAAGGAAGATAGTAATAGGTCCCAAATCTTTGAGTGAAGGTTGTTGTTTGAGAGCAGTGATAAGGTTGGAAATGCGGGGATGGATTGTTGTCGGTGATGAGGATATCATTCACTTGAAGGAGAAGAAATATTTGAGTGGTGTTGTTGGAGTATATGAAGAGGGAAGGGTTGGAGGAGTTGCAATGAAAACCTTGATTGAGGAGAAGGTAGAGAATGTAAGGAACCATTGTTTGGGTGCCTATTTGAGGCCATAAATTGCTTTGTGGAGTTTGCATATGTGGTTGGGGTAATTTTGATCAATGAAACCCGTCATTTGAGGCATGTTGATTGTTTTGGGAAGTGTTCCATGGAGGAAGACATTGGATATGTTTACTTGTTGTACCAACAAATGATTGTGAAGGGAATCAATGTGAGGAGGTGAATGTTTGGCATTTTAGCCACCACATTGAAGGTTTCAAAATAGTCAACTCCATATTATACTTAAAGCCTTGAGAGGTGAGGTTGGCTTTGTATCGATCAATAAAGCTGTCAGGATTGAGTTGTGTTTTATATGTCCAGCGACATTCCAAAATTGGATGATTGGGGGGAGGAGGAACCAGTGAACAAGTGCCTTGATGTTGAAGAGCTAAGAACAAAAATGAACATGGCTTGCCGCCATTTATGGAGTTTGGAAGCCTGAGAATACCATGTAGGAGTGGGCTAAATGATTGATTTGGCGGCTAGAGTAAAGACTTGTTTTGGCTTTAGGATGCCATTTTTGCCTCTACATTGCATAGGATGTATGTTTGCTAGAGAGGGTGGTGATTGGTTGAGAGAGGATGAAGTGGGAGGTGATTCGGTGCAGATATTTGGTAGTTAGCTAGAAGAGGATGTTCGAGGTGATGGTTGTGGGATAAGGTCAAGTGAGGTGGGCATGGGAGTGTTTGTATAGGTGGAGGAGGAAGGAACTATAAGTAGAGGCAGAGTAGAGGCCACAGTAGGCACTATGGCCATATTTGGTTGATATGTGAAGAACATTTATTGGAAAATGACATGATGTGAGACATAGATATGGCCAAAAATGGGTTCATAACTTTGGTAGCCTTTGTGGTTGGAGGAATAACCCAAAAAAAATGTACGCCTTGGATCGAGGGGCTAATTTATTTGGTGACAGTGGTTTCAGCCCAGGGAAATAGAGGCAGTTGAATGTCTTGAGATGGGTGTATTGAGGAGGCTTTTTGTTGACAAGTTGGTAAGTAGATTTGGAGGTAGTGGATTTTGAGGGAATTCTGTTAATTAAATATATAACAGTGAGTATATCCTTGATCGAGAAGGACATGGGAAGTTTGGCAGTGTGAAGTAGTGACTAGTGAGCGAGTAGTTTCGATCAGATGGTGATGCTTGCATTTTGAAATGCCACTTTTTTTTATGGAGTGTGGGGATAAGAGAGCTGGTGTGAAATTCTATTCTTAGTGAGAAAGTCAGCAAGGGATCGAGAAAGATATTCACTACTAGCATTGAAGCATAAGGTTTTTATATGAGTATTCTATAAATTATCAGCCATAATGATTAAACTAATTTATAAGATGGTGGTGAGTTTTGTAATGCTATAAGGCATAGAATGTTGGCCATTAAAATAGAAGCATACAATTAAGTTAAGTATTGTAGAGATGAGGATGCTTAGGTGGCTTTACTTTTAGAGATAAAATGCGAAACAAGCATATACGTGAAAAGGTTGGAGTAGCTCCAGTGGTAGATACAATTAGAGAGAGATGCCTTAGATGGTTTGGTCACATAAAGCGCCGGCCTTCCGATGGCCCAGTTAGGAGATTAGATGTATTAAATTTGACATATGTTAAGAGAGGTAGAGGTAGACCTAAAAAGACTTGGTTAGAAAATATTAGAAATGACATTTTTTTTTCAGATTTAAATTAGAATTTGACTCTTAACATGACGCAATGGAGAAAAAGATTCATGTAGCTAACCCCACGTAATGAGACAAAGGCTTAATGATGTTGTTGTTGTTATAGCGATGAAGTTAATTATTTTGGTGGAGGTTTTGGATTTGTTATGCATTGGATAAAGCCAACTGTATTTGATTATTTGGAGAAATTATCAACAATGAGTATATAAAATTTGAAACCTTTTAATGAAGGCACTGGAGATGGCCCCTCAAACAGCAGTATGAATATTATAATTTTGTGGTGACTAAAACTCTAGGTAAATGACAGTTTGTGACTTTCAGCTACACTACAAGAAGAGCATAGAAAAGTCCGAGGGGTAGGATTACATGAAAATTTTATAGTTTTAGCTAAATTAGATAAAACTATTTAATGCGGGTGACTGAGACGTGCATGCCAAAGAACTAAGGGGCTAATGTTTGATGCAAGAGCTTTAGGTGATAGCTTAGTTCTGGCTTTGAGAAGAGGATATAATTCATTGTTGTTGTGATTGTGAAGGAGAACTTGATTGGTTTGAAGGTCCTTTATGTGAAAGCCGGATGCATCAAAAGAGACAAATCAATTTTTATTTGATGTTAGTTTATAGATGGAGAGGAGATTGTGAGAAATAGATTGAACATGAAAATGATTAGGAAGAATAAGCTTACGCTCAAGCATGGGTGTGGGAAGGAGACCGTGACCACTGCTAGTGATCAGAAGGTTGGTGCCATTTTCGATTGTACGTATGTCAGGACCATTGTATGCAGTGGGTTGCTGAATATTTAAGATGCTTGTAGTGAGATGGGTGGAGGCTTTGGAGTCCAAGAACCATTTGTTTTTAGGCGGATGGTGGTGTTAGTAGAGACTTGATAGTGAATTTGGTGGGGGAGTATTGTATTATAGGCTACATCGGTGCAAGCAGGTGATTGTTGTATATCTCAGTTTGTCGCAGATTTGATAGAGAGGTCTGGAAAAGGTAGACTAGCTAGCTCGCCTGATGGTTGGAAGAGGATCACAAGGAGAAGAAGATGGGTGAGGGTTGGAGCGGCCCCCATTGTAGTGAGAGAAGTAGCCTCTTGTTTCCTGTAGAGTGATGGATGGTAGGTCAAAGTTATTTAGTTTGAGTGTTTCTGTGGTGAGATTAATTTCCTCTCTATAGAGAAGGGAGTAGAGATCATTAATCCTAACCGGTGTTAATTTGGTGTGAATGGTTGTTTTGAAGGATTGGCAGGCAGAGGCAAGGATGTTTAACGTGTAGACGATACCATCTTTAGGATTGATATGGGAGCCTACTGCGGTGATATTGTCAACAAGGGTCTTGATATTATAGAGATATTGGGTCATTGTGAGGTCCTTCTTGAAGACATTGTGTAGCTCATTTTTGAGTTTAATGATTCTTGAACGATTTGTGGGTTGCATCATTTTCTCCAGTGTCTGCCATATTTCAAGACATCAATGTAGTTTTAGGATATAGGGAAGGAAAATCGGCGATATGGTGGAGAAGAAGGCAGCCGACAAATTTTGATCAAGCAGCTACTAGTAGAGTAGGCATGGTTGGGTGTGATTTCGTTGGTGGGTAAGAGGTGTTGACGGATTTACCACTGAGAAAGCAATCAAAAGTGACTGGTTGAAAACATCTTCATGTTTTGGAGTCTCCAAATAGGGTTGTTGTCAGTATTGAGCTGGATGTGAACTATTTTTTTGAGGTTGTACATGAAGAATTTTAGAGAGGAGGGTATAGGATTTTCCGCGATGGTGTTAGCTAGTGTTTGAGAAGATGTGGGCGTGGTAGTTGAAGTGCTGGATGAGTTTGCCATGAGAATGAGGAGATTGTATACAGCTGTTGAGCTTAATGGAGCTCTGATACCATGAAGAACTAATAATCTGGTAAGCAACAGTAAAAAGAATTGTAGAGAAATGAATGAAGAAGATAATAGAGCTGGATATTTTTTGTATTGATATGTTTCTTTTTGACGAGTCTTAATACAATGTTGATAAGGCTATACGTAAATTTAAAGGGAACAGCTTTTGGTGTTTGTAGAGAATATCCTTAAGATGTAATGGAGCATCTTTGGCAGTTGGACAGCATTGCACAACAAAGGTATCCCGAGAGGGTTGGCTGCTCTTGAACAGTTGGTAGTGGAGATGACAACAGAGCAAGGGTGAGATGGTGACTTGCTTATCAAACTGTAGCTTATCAACAAGGACTATTGAGATACATATGAGACTGAAAAATAATTCAAATTGTGTTTTTAATGTACTATTATTAAGCATTTGTGTTTACTTATGTTTATTTGCTATGAAATTATGCTCAAATTGAGCTACCGTTTCTTCCTTCTCCCAATATTTTTCTCATCTTGGAGTTTTAACTTGTGAATCAAGTAGTGTTGTTTACGAATTTACCTAGTAACTTTGATTGAGTTGTTTGTAATTAGTTACATATTTAACCATCCTTTAGAAATAATTACATGATACTGTGATATTATTGGTTCAGTTTGAATGTTGTGCTTACGATTGTGCGCTTCTGTATCTATGCAGCTGGCAAAGATCATGTCACCAGGAAAGTTTTAGAAGGTACTTCTCTATTCTATTCTTCAATTTATTTTCATAAACCTTTCTTCTACTCATTTAGATTTGTTTGATGTGCTTTAGCTTTGTCTTGTCTGATGGGAATAAACTCAGCCAATCTACTTCCCTAATTCATGTTATGGATTTATGGAAGAGAACCTTATAGAAGACTCCATAAAAGACTCTTGTCATGATTTATGATTTTCTTAAATGACTTTCTCAAGGGCTTGAATTGATTAAATAATTAGTCCATTTCTTATCGTTGTTGATGTCTAAAATAGTTTCTGTTGTTAGCTTTGGTCAACTTTAGTGTGGCCATACTTTTTCACTTCCTTTTCAATTTAAGATGTAAGTGGAGGCTTTTGGAGTTTTTGATCTGAATTCCATTGAACATGGGCCAAAGAACTTGTGCAATATATGTAGTATGACTTAAATTATGAAAAATATTTTGGGGGATCTGTGGTTGTAGTGAATGATTGGATAGGCCCAATCCTTGAGCTCACCATTGATACGAGCGAGACTGCGGGGATGGCAACCTCACTGTATTAACCTTTATTACTTTTCACATAGATTTATATTATTGAAATTAATATTTTATTATTATGTCTCATTTTGCATTTGTTTTTCAACGTAGTGATTTTTTCTCCTCTGCCCATAGTTTTTACTTATCTAGAATTTTTCGCATAAACCTATGTTTTTTTGCTTTGTATTTTGTTGCTATTGTTCAATATTTTCCTTATAGAGGCAATTAGCTTTTTCTCCATGCGGTTCCAGTTTGTCCTTTTGTCAGACTAGTGATTACCATAATATTTTCGATGGTTATATCGAATGCTTGAAAGATTTTAATATTAAATGCATGTAAATTGCCTTTATAATTTAAAAGTTTGAAATAATTTTGTTTTTGGAAAATAGGAATTAGAAGGACAAAGGATAACAACTATTGGATACCAAAAAAACTCCTATAAACAGGAGTGTAAAATGACATTGTAGTTATTTACCACCATAAAATTTAAGCAGACAAACAACCAATGAAGGGAAGGTAATTTTGATGTGGGAAACATATAATTAAAAAAAAAAATTCATAGGACATACCCCATATGACAAATTCCACTGCTAGAAAAATTCATAGGACATGCTGATCCTGGGACATGCTGATCCTGTACAAGGACATCAGGGGATCAACCAGAAATCCTTAAGGGTAAATGAGCTATATGAAGTAGAGTTAATCATTTGGTCTTCAATGAAGTAGACTAACTTCATGGCAGTGGAACTGATGTCAGCTATAGTACTTGAATGGTTGTTAATATAAATGTTTTGTTGATGAATGGAAATTGGATTTCTTTTTTTAACAAGAATTATGCACATTATAATGGATGAAGGGATGTAGGCTTTTACAAATAGCATTTTTTTTAAATTATGAATTCTCAGAATAAATTAAACCTAAGGCTTAATTATTATTAGTACGCTTTGCCATAGTCAATTCATGAATATCAGTAATATTGTTGATTCTTTTCTAGATTGAATAGGGGTTGTTGTTATGTCTAGAATCTTATTATGTTTATCAATCGGATTGTTATGTTGTCTCAGATCTCAAGTTTGTTGTGCTTGCTTGGGGGTGTAGGGGGTACCTTCTTGGATTTGGGTGCTTTGCAAAGAATTTTTTTTCCTCCGTACAACGCCCGGGCGCTGCGCACCCGACCACTTGACTTTCTCTTGTATTTTGAGTGTAATGAAAACATAGAGAACGGAGCATGTGAGACGAGAAGCAAGAAGAGAAATCTGTACTTATTTCTCCCAATTTTCATAGTTATTTTTTGTGTGGTGTTGCTTCGTGTTTTTTTTTTTTCCTATTTTGAATTTTTTTCATGTTAAATCCTGATGTCCTTTATTTTTCCGCTGCTTTTACAATTTTACTTTCTTGTTTGTTTCGTCATTGTGGTGTTGACTCCTCATCCTTAACAATTGTTGCATATACTTCATCATCAAATTTCATGCAGATGTGGATAAAATGAAATAGCCTTTGGTTTGATCTAAATGACCACTAGATTTAGTGATAACCTAAATGACCACCAGTTTCAATCTTGGTTAGGCATTGATTGATGATAGCCTTTAATCGTTGTCATCACCACCTTGGTTGGGCATTGATCGATGGTAGCCTTTACTCATTGTCATCACCACTTCATTTAGAGATTGGAAAGTATAGTGATGTTCATAGAAACATCATAATAATTCTAGTGGTTCAAATTTTTGTGGTGTGGATCGACAGAAAGAATATAGAGATGTGCCTCTTCATTGCCCAAATTCAGTGAAAACCTAAATGCACGCCAATAAATAAAATGAATCGCGCTGCAGCGGCTTGGTCGGGCGGGGTCGCGCGGCAACAGCTGGGCCGGGTCGCGCGAGGTCGTGCGGCAGTGGGGCAGGTCTATACGGTTAGGTTAAAACGGGTTCGCGGGTTGAACCAACAACCCGTCGGGTCAACCCGAACCCGACCCGTTTTTCAAAAGGGTCGATTTCTGGAACCCGAACCCGCCCTTTTTGAAATCGGGTCGGGTCCAACCCGGATTTTTCGGGTCGGGTTCTCATGACGTGTCAAATATTGACACCCCTAACAGAAACGCATCAGTACAATATTCTCCATTACTTCCATTAGTGGAACTAGCATTACCTTCTTTTTCAAACAAGTCATGAAACCGTGGAGGCGAAGCCATGAAATAAAACCTCTCTTCTACGCTCAAGTAATCTCCACAGTTTAAGAAACTTATATCTGATGCTTCCGTTTGTGTTGTGGCCGTGGAGTTGTTGAGGACTTCAGTGGTTTTGATGATGTATTCTTGGAGGTGAGAGGTTTTGCCTCTTGATGTTTTTCTACTTCTACATTCTCTTTTTGAGCTCAGCCTTCTCTTGGTCGCGTTCCAGCGGTTTTTTATTGAGTTTTCACTTCGGCCAGGTATTTTTTTGGCCATCTCTGCCCAACGGTTCCCAAGCTCCTTATGTGCTTGGATAAGTGAAATCTCTTCTTCTCCGCTCCATGTTTCCTCCTATTAGAACATTTTTCACATTTTTAGTCCACGCTACAAGAAAATCAGCATTTACGGACCGCCGGAATTATTGGCGGTATAATAATCCCCGTTAGGCCGCCGGTCTTCTATTTTCGCGGCGCCTTTACCGATAAAGGCGGCCAAGCCGCCGGTGTTAAGTAATTTTGTTTCCAACGGTTTCGACCTCAGGTAAAACCAGCATTTAAGAAGGCAGGTAAGCCTCCGGTAATTAACCGGCGGTCACCGGCGCTACGATCTCAGGAAATTACCGGCTGTTCATGCGGCCGGAAAGCTGGTAAAATTATTCGCCTGAAATTGGCAACCGCAATTCGTTTCCTACACGCTTTATACGGCGGAAAATCGCAGGTAGTTTTCACAACCGCAGCTATTTCCTGTAGTGCTAGGAAGCCATTAATTGTATGAACAAAATGAACCAGGAGGTGCAGGGAGATCATGCAGTGATCAAATAAAATTCACCTTGATGCCAGGCCTTAGCTGATTATGCCATCTTTCTCTACACTGCTTGCCAATCCTTCCAACAAGCTTCTTTGCAATCTGCGACCACTTTCTTACTCCATGCTCTTTCACTAATCTCACCAACAAACTGCAATAATCTCCAAATTAATATCGGACGCTTATAATTAGGAAAATATTCGGGAGATTAGAAGAATAATTACTTGTCTTCCTCCGCAGTCCATTGCCCTCTCACAGAACTACCGCTGCTCTTCGCTCTTTTAGCTTCTACAGTACTACTGCTACTAATATTAGATTAGCTTAAAACAATGTATTAATTGCTTTATTAGGTTCTATCCATTCACTAGCTTACACGTGTACTCTTAGCTCTGAGAATCTATTTATAGGCACTCATGTACACTTGTAAACATTAAGAAATAAATCTCCTGTCTTCTTATTCACCTGCTCCGTTTTCTCTCTTCGCTTAAGCTTCTTTATGGTATCAGAAGCGGTCCTTTCTTGAGACCTTCCTTCCATGGCTTCCCCCGCCTCTGCCGCCTCCTCCTCTCGCACAACCGCAGCCATAGGCGACACCTCCGATAAGCCTCTTCTTTACCCTTCTCTAAAATTTATCATCTCCAACCTCAAATCTCTGGTTCCACACCACCTCTCAATGGATAACTATCCTATCTGGAGAAACCAGATCTTCAAACTCTTTAAGGCCAACGGCTTCGAATCGTTTCTTGAAACTCCTCCCCCCGCTTCCGACGATCAAGCCCAGTCGGATCAAGATTCCGAATTCTCAAAATGGCTTCTCACCGACCGAAATCTCGCCGCGGCAATCTCCTCTACCATCTCTGCTTCGGTTATCCCATACGTGATGCATCTTGACTCCACCTACGACATCTGGAATGCGCTTCAAACACGTTTTCAACCGGTTAATCGCTCGAAGGTGATGCAGCTCAAAAATGAGCTCCAAAACATCTCAATGCGCAGCATGTCAATGCAAGATTACCTTATGGAAATCAAGAAAACCGTGGACATGATCATCTCCGCTGGCTGTCAACTGGACAATGAGGACATTATTCTTCACATACTCAATGGCCTCCCTCCTCCCTATCAACCGTTCAAGACTGCCATAAGAACTCTGCAATCCCCATTGTCCTTAGACAGTCTCTACGCTATGCTTACTAGCAAAGAGATACACCTTCGTCAAGACTCTCAACACTTCTCTATAGTGGCTGATACCCACGCTGCCCTATATACCAATCGTGGATGCGGACGACGGGGTCGCGGTCGCTCTCAGCAAACGTCTACGCCGTCCGTCAAACAGGGATCAAAATCACCTCTCATTTGCCAAATTTGTGCCAAACGGGGTCATTCCGCCGATGTTTGTTGGCACCGACATAATTCAAATTATGTTACTCCTTCATCCCAGCCACCACAGAACGGACAAGCACTCATCGCTACTGCCGACTCGTCTTCCTCTGAATGGTACCTCGACTCCGGTGCCTCAACTCACATGACGAACAGCAACGACAATCTCGTTCAAACCTCTACCTATCATGGCTCAGACAGCGTCTTGGTTGGGGATGGAAGATCTGTTCCCATCGCACACTCCGGCACGGGAATCCTTCCTACCCCTGAGCGTAAGCTGTTTTTGTCTGACTTGCTTCATATTCCAGCAATTTCTCATAATCTTCTTTCAATTTCTAAACTCGTCTGCGAAAACAATATTTCCATTACATTCGAACCTCACAGTTTCTTGATGAAAGATTTGCAGACTAACAGGATTATTCTTCACGGTCCCTGCAAGGCCGGTCTATATCCTATTTCGGTCAAGAACCAGGCGGACAATCAACGTGCTCTTGCTACTCATCAGCACAGCCATCCAAATTGGCACGAACGCTTGGGTCATCCACACCAACGCATACTTGATCGTATTTCTCAAGAACATCCGATCTTGCACATAAAGAATACAAATAATAGCTGCAATTCTTGTAAACTTTGTAAAAGTCATAAATTGAGTTTTCCTCGATCTGTAACAAGAAAACAAAATCCTCTGGCTATGTTACATTCGGACATTTGGGGACCTTCCCCGGTCTCCTCAATGCAAGGATATCGCTATTATTTGCTTATTGTCGATGACTATTCTAGATACATATGGGTGTTTCCTTTTTATGCCAAATCTGAGGTTCCGCTAATTTTTACTAACTTCATTAAATTTATTAAAAAACAAACCTCTCATCAAGTTCAGGTTGTTCGCACCGATGGAGGATCCGAATTCGTCAATTATCAGTTCCAGAACTTCCTTCAATCCAAAGGAATACATCACCAATTATCTTGTCTGTATACGCCTGAACAGAACGGCGTCGCCGAACGCAAACACCGGCACCTCGTTGACACTGCCAGAACGTTACTCCATACCGCTTCTATGCCTCATTAGTACTGGCCAGACGCCATTTTGACTGCCGCTCATCTTATTAATCGAATGCCTACACCTACGACCAACTATAAAACTCCACTACTGCTCATGTTTAACAGCGAACCCGATTACACAAATCTTTGAACATTCGGATGTGAATGTTTCCCTCACCTACCAAAGCACTCTCGGAACAAGTTGGAGCCCAACTCGGTTTCATGCGTCTTTCTCGGTTACGCTCAGAACTTCAAAGGCTACAAGTGCTTGAACAAAGAAACTAATCGGATCATAGTTTCTCGTCATGTTCAATTCCTCGAAAACTCTTTTCCCTTCTCTAACTCTCGCTCTATTAACTCACCGCCTCCTAATGACATGCCTCCCTCTCTTCTCATTCCTCCCTCTGTTTTGCAGCAGGTCCCTACAAATAAATCAACTACGGCGCCCAACTGCTCAAATCCCATCATGGGCAACCGAACAACACCAGCTAGCTCCACTACCTGCTCTCAGGATGCTCACATTCCCTCGGATACCCGCCAACCAACTCCAAGCAACTCGGTGGCAAGGCATCCCATGATAACCAGGGCAAAAACTGGCAAACTCAAGCCAGTCACTCGCCTAAATCTCCTTCACAACCACATTCCCCAACTGGATCCTACCAGTTATGCAGAAGCAAACAAATACACTGAGTGGCGCAATGCTATGGCCGCTGAGTTTCTTGCTCTCCAAAAGCAAGATACATGGCAACTAGTCCCTGCACCTCCGAATAAACAAATCCTGGGATGTAAATGGACATACCGCCGCAAACTTCACTCTGACGGAACCGTTACTCGATATAAGGCGCGGCTGGTTGCATAGGGAAACCAACAAGAATTCGGACTGGATTATATTGAGACCTTCAGTCCGGTAGCTAAACTACCTACAATTCGTGTTCTCTTCACCATCGCCCTTCATCACGACTGGAAAGTCCACCAATTAGACGTCGAGAATGCCTTTCTTCACGGCGACATCCAAGAAACTGTGTATATGCGGCAGCCCAAAGGCTTCGAGGATACATCACACCCGAACCATGTCTGTCTTCTACGGAAAGCTCTCTATGGCCTCAAACAGGCTCCAAGGCAATGGTATACCACGTTCTGCAACCAACTGCTTCAATTCGGCTTTCAACAGAGCAAAGCAGACCCCTCCCTCCTTATCTTCAATCAAGGTCGGACACAAATGTTCTTACTAATATACGTGGACGACATTCTTCTCACCGGCTCCGATGAAGCTGCCATCTCTAAGTTCCTTCATCAACTCAATCAAATCTTCGCACTTAAACATCTCAGGACGGCAAATCATTTTCTCGGCATACGCATACAACACACACAAGATAAGTATTTCCTTTCGCAACCTTCATATGCTTCTTCCATTATTCAATAAGCACATCTAACCAATTGTAACCCGACAGCAAATCCGTCTTGTACCAAGCTTCTGGCCAACACCGAGAAGGACTATGCGAACCTGGCGGATTCCGGCACATATCGTCAGATCATCGGTGCTCTACAATACCTCACTATCACTCGACCGGACATCGCATATGCTGTCAACACCCTCTCGCAGCATATGCATGATCCTCAATCGGATCACGTCTTTCTCCTCAAACGACTGATTCGGTACATTCAGGGCACACAAAGCTTCGCTATTCCAATTCAGAAATCGGACCTTCAACTATCCACCTTCTCCGACGCTGACTGGGCGAGTGATCCGGTAACCCGAAAATCCACCTCGGGTTACTGTACATTTCTGGGATCCACATTGGTATCCTGTACTGTAAAAAAACAAACTACCATATCTCGATCGTCAACGGAATCATAATATAGAGCTCTTGCCTCCGCCATTGCAGATACTATATGGCTCAAGCGGCTGCTCTCCGACTTTTGCATATCTCACGACGATCCGGTAGCTCTACATTGCGACAATACTTCAGCCATCGCTCTTGCCACAAATCCCGTTTATCACGCTCGAACCAAGCATATAGAGATCGACCACCGATTTGTCCGGGAACACATCATAAACCATCATCTGCAGCTTGTTCCGATCAAAACCGAAGATCAGGTTGCCGATATCTTCACCAAGCCGTTGTCCACTCCAAGATTCAAAAAGCTCCGCGACAAACTCACCGTCATTTTAAACCCGTTCGTTTGAGGGGGATATTAGATTAGCTTAAAACAATGTATTAATTGCTTTATTAGGTTCTATCCATTCACTAGCTTACACGTGTACTCTTAGCTCTGAGAATCTATTTATAGGCACTCCTGTACACTTGTAAACATTAAGAAATAAATCTTCTGTCTTCTTCTTCACCTGCTCCCTTTTCTCTCTTCGCTTAAGCTTCTTTAACTAATCTCCGAGGTGTTGATGGATGAAGTATCTCCATTGTTTGTAAGGAAGCCTGCACAGAACTCATTAATTAATCTCATCAAATCCAAGCTCAGTATGATCCGCCTTCATCATAGAAGGATTCCTCTCACTGTTTTCGATAAGAAACGTCTCTAATGGCGCCATTGGCGTAGGAGCTTGGAAGATATATAAAAGGCATATTAGCTTGAACACGATAAGCTAGAAATGAGGGAAGAGGAGGGTAAAGAGATGGAGGAGGTGACAAAGTTTGAATTCTGAAGGTGATAGATTTAAATGGAGGGAGTGATTAGCAGAGGTAACTCAGCCATTAAGCTCGCCTGATTAAGGGCTAATTATTACGTCAAGTGTTCAGATTCGTCCGGACATCAATTCAGATGCGCCACATCACCCAAATACACTGGACCCAGTGTATTTGGGTGACATGGCGCGTTAGGATTGGATGTCCGGACGTCAAGTGACCACACATAAGAATTCGCCCTGATTAAGGCCCCCATTGTAGCTCCACCCATGATTATAAATTTATTATTAAAAAACATGCATTAAAGACAATATTATAATATTATATCTATAAAATTAAAATAATTAATTACATATGTATATATAATTTATTTTAATTGCAAATAAAAAATATTTAAATTTGCTAAATATCTTAAATTTAATTGAAGAAGAATTAATCATTTAATCACTTTATGTTATAAATTAATAAAAAAATAATTCTCTTATAATAACATAAAAAAATAATTATTATAAAAAAATCATAATAAAATGAAGCATAATAAAAAAAAATTATATAGCTATTCAATTATTTAAGAATTCTATGTACGTTAAATTAGAAATTGTTTAATTAACAACGTTAATCAAGCGAGCTTTCATAAATGATTTAATACGTAATAAAAATTAATTCTATCTAAATATTAAAAGCATATATATTTAACTGAAATTAATTAATTATGAAAGCTTTAATTGCAGTTAACTCTAAAAATTTATTATATATACCGTTGGAATATATAATTATATATATACTAACGGTATTTAAGAAACAAAATCAGTATTTAAAGAATATAAAAATTTATATTCTACTCGAGGAAATGTTTTAATTGCATTTAAGTAAGAGTTAATTATTGGAATACCAAAGATTAATTGCATTTATTTCTATATTCAAATATAATAACTGTTAAAATTTCATAATTTTAATAATTCATAGTTAATAAATAAATAAAATATAAACCTTAATTAATTATTTTATTAAATAATCTTTATACTTGTCTATACGACTATTATAAAATGGGCTTTAGTTTCCCTGCATCAAATCTTAGTCATCCATTTTATTTCTTTTAAAATTATATTATCTCTTCATTTTGTTATAAATAATTAATAGATTTTACTATTATAAGCATCTTTTGTGAGTCTCCCAATAGACCTTCTTCGCCTTCATTGTTCCTATTAGAGTCGCCGCTCATTCACCTTCAATGTTCCTGTTGGCTCGGAAGTCGTGCCGGGAGTTCCCTGCTAAGATAATGTTCTTTTTCAAGTTTTTGTTATTCTTGTTGGCTCGGAAGTCACGATCATAGTTCGCTATTTTTTCTTCATTTTCTCCTTGCGCGCTTCTTAGACAGCACTTTCCGAAACATACCAAACGAACCCTAAGCCTCTTCAGATCACCTATTTATTTTCCTCATGTTAGCAACAATACCGTTATTTATTCCTATTCTCTAATTCCTCTCTTTAGCGGTGGCCTCACTTTTGGGCTTAAGAAGAAGGCTTCGATCTCGTCGCGTTCAATCCGAACTTCCTATAATTTTGCAGATCCAGGTGAGTTAGTGATGCGGCACTCAGACATGCAACGCCGCTATACTCGACTGAAACATTTTAAAAACTCGTAGATAAAGAGCTCAGCGACGTAAAGCTCCCTCAAAACTTTTTTATTATATACAGAGGGCAACGCTACAAGTCCACCATGTGTGGTGCCGCTACAATATTCCCATATTTTCCTCATAGACATTGAAGGAAACATCATTGTGCTCCCAAGGCAAATGTCGCAATGCTCCCACAAGAAAATTTTCTACTTAAATTTTAGTCCTTTTCAATTAGATTCTAAACATATTATTAAAAAAATTAAAACATATAGAGGAATATTGTAATCTTACTAGGCCCTATAGCAACAAATATCTCATATAGTTCTTTATATAAATATCCCCATAATCCCAAAGCTAAGAAGTTTAAGGAGACTAAAGTGGAACATATAAGTTTGAGTGACCAAGTGCAAAGGTGTTGTAGGTATTAAGCATTCAATTTCCAATTATGAATGTTTGTAATAATCAAATATAAGCTTTAATTTGGAGGCCTTAAGATTATCTATGATAAGAGGAACTTAGATTTTGTTAGCAATCTTTAAAGTGCCCTAAAGATTCTAGTAGCAAAAGATGAGTTTTTATAACTAAACCCACATGAGGATAAGAAATAAATCTCCCCACATAAGCAGGGAACTAACATATAACTTTCTTTAGAAAAAAAGATGCCTAGTTACAAACAATGCCCCCATCAAAGCAATATCAAAATCCTCACTATCACTACTTATAAATTTAAGGGGAAAAAATCATATGAGAGCGAAGAAGAATCCAATGTACCTTTTCTTTATTGAAGTTATAAGAGTGGCATAGTAGCAGTGTTTATTGAGAACATGAAGATCCCACTCTTTACCCCGAGAGAGATCTTCAAATTAAAATAAAATTTCAGCTTTAATAGATTCCACAAAGAAAAACTAAACTTTCACAAGTTTTGTATGCTAGTTGTATGGCACTCTTTTGTAATAAACTCTTTTAGTTGCCTCACTAATTATTTTTTTACTATGAGTATAATATATATCTTTAAACCTCACTAGTTATGAATTAAAAATATCATTAAGCTAACATTTATCTTATAATTTAAATATTTAAATGACTTAGAAAAATGACACCACAATCTTGATAATCTCCTTTAGGGGTGTCAAAACAAATTCGCGGGTCGGGTTCGGGTCGAACTCGGATTGACCCGGCTCAAACGGGTTGACCCTAACCCGACCCGTTTTCACAAATGGGTCAGGAAACCTAACCCGTACCCGACCCGCACGGGTTATGGGTTGACCCGACCCGACCCGCGCGTGAACCCGGGATGCGCTTGCGAACAGACCGTCAGACGCTCTTGCGAACAGCGAACTGAGATCCGGGATGCGCTTGCGAACATACCATCCAATGGGTTGATGCCTTGAGCGCGACGACGGCGAGGCCAGCACCCAACATTGACTGGTCGAGAAGGCGGAGTTCGGAGAGCCCATTTCCTGCAGTGATCGCCTGCCAGTGCGACGGAGCAGACGTCTCGCGGTGCGGCAGATCGGAGCGACGGATGCGGCAGACAGCTCAGGGGACGCCTGACGCGGGATGATGACATGACAAAACGACGCGACGGAGACACAGATTGGACGCTTGACACTGTAGACCGGAGGGCGACGAGACATGGTGACAGGCTGACAGATGGGTGAGGCGGGAAATTGAATTTCACGGGTCGAATCGGGTCGACCCGCAGGTTTCCGGGTCAACCCAAACCCGACCCATTTTTTCAAACGGGTCGAATATCTAAACCCGAACCTGACTCGTTTCACAAACGGGTTGACCCAAACTCAAAATTTTCCGGATTTAGTTTCAGATCGTGTCAAAAATTGACACCTCTAATCTCCTTGTTGAAAAATTTTCAACTATTCCTCTTATTATTATTATTATTATTATTATTATTTAGAGAGAAGCCACTAGCTCTTTTAGACAATGGCCCACCAGCAACTTCTTTTAGAAACAATTCATGAGAAGGAGAGTTCAAATACTCCTTTCTACCATTTTAACTAAACAACACCGCAGCTAACTACATAGTTCAATTTCGGTAATAGCCACCACAACCCATTCTTTTATCCATACGTTCTTTAGTTAAATGGTGACTCCAGAACAACGAAAACTCGAATGGCGACACCGGGAAGATATTGGAATGGCCGCAGGATTTTCTCTCTCTTCCGCTTTGCAGTTGAAATTTGCTTTCTGTGTCCGCTGGACTCGAGGGAAGTGTCTGCCTGTCTCGTTTTTACCGCGCGGGCATTTTACTTCCGCCGCTTTGGTCTTTTACAGCTTTGGTTGAAGGAAAGGAGGCATTTTTGGTGCCATGGGAGTTCCTTTCTCCCAACTCTTTCGAGATGATTTGAGGTTTTGAGAGAGGTAAGTGGTTTGTTTTCTCCTACTTTAGGATCGTTTATGACTAGTTTTAGAAGGAGACTGTGTTGTCTGAGCCACTGGAGCTTTGTGAGTGTTCTTTTTTCATTCTCTATTGCCTTTCCTTTTTGTTGTTCAGGTCAATGCCGGGGTTTTTAGGTTTTGAGATTTTGAAGCTTGCAAAGTGAATGTTTTGAACACGTGTTATGATTCATTAATCTCGCTGCAAGCCTGCAATGAAATTTTCATGGGGGGAGTGGTTAGCTCTTCGTGACCCGGCAAGTTTTGGAATTTTGTGATGTGGTTTATTACTATTGACTCACGTGTTTGTTTTTGCCCACCCCCACCTTTTTTTTTCTTTTTCTGGAAGTTCTTCTGACAATGCCAGCCATCTTCTTGCAATTTGAATATTAATATATTTTTGTGTGAATGGTAATGCTGGTGATGGTGAGACTGGTTTTGTGTCAACATTTGTTCATTCAGTGTAAAAAAATTAATTTTTGTTTCACCCTTTTTTTGTTAATTTGATGATTGATTCATCTTGTAAGGTAATACTTTATTGTTTGTCTTCAATTCATGCAATATGTCAGATTAGGAAGCTTAAGTCAATGCATAATCAGTGCTCTAATTTTGTATTCATAAGCACTTCTTTCTTCCCTCTTTAAATTGTTTGTGAAGAATTTATATAGTTTTGTCTGTCTTACACTTTCTTTTATGTTTGAAGGATGGTTGGAGGCAGATATGGCGGTAAAGGATTGCTATCTTTGGGAACTTCTTAATCACAATAGATCTGTGTTTACAAAAGTTGTCTCACTGCAGAAGATGTAGTTTTGTATACAAGTTTGTAGTCATGGCTGTTTATAGTGTCTTAATTTGGAAATAGAGGAAGTAAAATAGTAGCAATGGAAGAAATACAGTCCTACTCTGATAACTATAGATCTTCCTCTTCTTCAGCAAGCAGTCCGATAAACAAAGCACCTTCAGGGACCTTTTTCTATTTGAGGAAACCAGGTGCTCTAAGAAAGCCAATTTCCTTTGAGGACTCGCCTGAGTGGGATGATGTGGAGATTGATCCCCACATTGAGGGGGAAGACTCCATCCATGTTGCAACCACTACAGCCTCTCCAACCCTTTCGAAGGTTAACAGTGTGTCATTGCCATCTCCATCAGCACTGGAGGCTTCTTCATCAGTTGTTGAAAGAAAGATTGCTGGGGCATCACTTGTTTGGAAGGATCTTTGTGTTACCATAAAGGAAAAGAGGAAGTATTCTGACAAGGTGATCAAGAGTTCAAATGGTTATGCTTTCCCAGGGACGCTTACGGTTATTATGGGACCTGCCAGATCTGGAAAGTCAACACTGCTAAGGGCGATCGCAGGTTTTGTTTATATGAATAATGAAGTTTCATTTTAGTATAATAAATAGAACATGCTATTGTGGTTTATTTATGTGAGTTTTAATTAAGCAGCACATTTATATCCATGAAGCCAGTTAACATTGCAAAGGGCACAAATCAGTATTTCGGGTGCCCATAGAAAGTTTTCAGAGCTATGTTATGAATCACAACTTATTTTTTCAGAATGAATTGTAAAATTAACATGGCTGAAGGCCTTGAACACAATATTTGATAATCCATGCAAATTCAAGGAACAAAAAGAAAAAAAGAAAAAAGAAAAGCATTCTATCTTTTAAAAAAATAAAAAACAAACATATCTCCAACTTGTCTGCTGGATGTAAACTTAAAAGGGAGGCAAACATAATGCAAAGTAGTAATCTAGATGGGCTGTGTTTGAATTATTATTATTATTTTTTAAATAGAGCTTCTCTTTAAAGAATTCTTATGAAGGAGCTATGTTTCATGTTTTGTCTCTTCCATTTGTGGAAAAATTATTCCGTGTGGACGCTTAATGCTCTTCGGAGACCAACCAGAATGCGCCACCTCACCCCTTCACTTGGTACCGCGGCTCGGTACTGCTCGGTACCGCTGACGTGGCTGCACCTGATTCATCTCCGGATGTAGAGCTGCGTCCGGCCTCCGCACAGAATAATTTCTCCCATTTGTGACTGCAATACTGAATTCTGTTTTGGCATTGTGGCTTTGCAGGTAGATTACGTCCTCCAGCAAGGCTGTATGGTGAAGTTTTTGCGAATGGGGTGAAATCTCCAATGCCTTATGGTTCTTATGTGAGTTTTCTGTCTGATTAGCTTTTTGCCATATTTTTTTTCTCAGGTAATTCTTTAACTATTAATTTGATAAAGTAGTTATGAGCATAACTTGTCCTTGATGGTGTGTAATTGAATTTGTTTATACTATTATAGCCACTATGGTATGTTGCACTTCACACAATTTTCTTAACAACTGATTTCTTATCTGTAACACTTCATAAGTTCTATTTATATGTTCTATGTGTTTCTTACTTTAAGAGATTTGTTTTTCTTATAGTAAAATATGCCATATCAAGTCTCTGATATTTATTTTGTCTCCTATGCATTTTCAGTTGCATGCTCCATCACAGATGTTGTGCAAGCTTGCTTCTCTGGTTAAAATGGTCACTTCTCATAAAAAAAATATCAGAACCTAGAAAATTTAAATGTGAAGTTTTACCTTTTCACTGTTGATCCTCTCATAAGTAATATTTCCACCTAAAAAAGGTTGAAGTAACGTTAAGAGAAGTCCCATTTCCTTCTCCAACAGTTTCTATCAAGAAATTCTCCTCATGCTTCTTTATTGTTTCTCTTTCTATCAAGAAATTTTCCTGGTAAGCAGTTTCAGGCCAAAACTAAATAAATAAATTTAAAGTGAAGCCATCCACTTTCATAATCTGAATAAAAGATCATGCACACATAGTTTTTGAGAAGTAAAATACAATTATTGTAGTGGACTAATTACATGTTTTCAGGGGTATGTTGATCGGAAAGATGTGTTGATAGAATCTCTCACTGTCAGTGAGTTTTTATACTATTCTGCCCTTCTACAACTTCCTGGTTCCTTATCTCAGAAAAAGGTTCTAGTAGAAGATGCAATATCAGCAATGTCTCTAGGGGATTATGCAGATAAACTCATTGGTGGTCACTGTTTTATGAAGCATCTTCCTTGTGGTGAGAGGAGGCGTGTCAGTATTGCTAGGGAGCTTGTAACAAGGCCCCACGTTTTATTCATTGATGAACCACTTTATCATCTGGATAGGTTATTTTCTGATTCAAAATTTGAAGTTAATTATCCTTTAGTTGTTCTTTGGTAACTGCTTTGTCCCATTTAATTAATTCAGTTCTTACTTTCTCCTTAATAGTGTATCTGCGCTACTTTTGATGGTCACACTGAAGAAACTTGCCAGCACAGGATGTACTCTCATTTTTACAATGTACCAAAGCAGCACAGAAGTTTTTGGTCTCTTTGACAGAATATGCTTACTTTCCAATGGGAATACATTATTTTTTGGAGAAACATTGGCTTGTTTGCAGGTAAATCATCTTGCATCATCAAATTTGAAAAAAAAAATAATTTTGAGAAAAAGTTGATGCTTAGTGTCAAATACCGTCCCATTCATTCTAGCCGTCCCTTGGTTCTTGCTCCTATGACCAACATGAGGATCCATAGGAGGCTCACCTGGATCATATCAATTTCCTTCCATATTTGGGTGGTTGATTTAGGAAGGATTATATTATGACAGTTATGCATTATTCTTTAATTATTTCTTTATTAAGATATATTGTATAGATATATAAATGTGGATAGTTTTGTATAATAAAATTAATCTTTTCCCTCTCCACTTTCCTGAATTTAACATGATATTAGATTTGCGTTGGCCAAAATTTTGAGTATTTTTTCTGCCGAGCTTTTTGAAGGGAAGGCCCAGCCTTCCCTACGTACGTCCAATCGAGAGGAGGGAGAGTGCTTCATCCCGCGGTCTCTGCGTTCGATTGAGAGAGACAAACATCTCGTGAACCCCTCTCACGTGCGTGCGATTGAATGGGACGAGAGAGGGGTTCGACCAAAAGATTTTGCGCTAGTGTTTGGGGCGGAACCAAGCAAGATCGTGCGTCCCTAAAGCTTGCCGCATGTTGTAGCCTCCTCTCACGTTTGTTTTGGGCGGAACCGAGAGGAGTCAAGAAAGAGCTTGCAGCTGGATAAGAGATCGTGCAATTGAACAAGATGAGAAACCATGTGTCTGGATGAAGCAGTTGCGTGCATATTGACAACTTTCGTCTCATTCCTATGGCCCCCAAAATTTCTCGTGTCCTCCGCATCTGCGTCAAATCTTACCGGCATGGACATCGCCATAGGCTCCCACTGCACTGCCGATTCCAGCAAAGACCATTCCTGCGAGTCTTCCGCCGCTACATCCAACCACAAATAGTAGAAGGTAACTACGACAAGCGCCACCGTCGCCAAGATTAGCCGGTCATCTCCACCGTCGGGGATCATCTGTCAAATGGAATCTCCCTTGTCAAGCACCCCAAGGTATTTGCATCGGTTGAGCAGAAAGCTCAAGAACTCTACCGCGCCATTGAATCCATTGTTTCTGTCGCCTTTGAATTGAGGCCACCAGTCATTACGGCTGCTTTCGATGAGGATGAGGGCGATAGCGGAGCCGAGGGAGATGGAGGAGCGGGATAGGAGAAGGGGGAAGAGGTGGTGAAGAAGTTTAAGCAAAAAAATCCTAAGAAACCCAAGGTGTGGTCCACGAGGCTGAAGGAGTTGACGCTTGCTGGCTACAAAGAGATTAAATGCACTTTATCCTACCCTGAAGGAGTTGATGCTTGCTAGTTCTCCAGGTTCCCGCCACTGGCCTTTATTATTGAAATTTTGAGGAATATAGGTTCCCACCACCGACCTTCATTGTCAGAATTATGAGGAATACTGGTTCCCACCACTGGCCTTCATTGCCTGAATTTTGAGGAATACTAGTTCCCTCTATCGGCCTTCATTGCCTGAATTCTGAGGACATTGTTCCTTCTGCTTCCTTGTGCGTCCAATACTGAGAAGAGATCGTGAAAGAGGGCTCCTCTTACGTGCGTTTGGGGCGGACCCGAGCAGAGTCGAGCGAAAGCTTCCTCCATACGATTTGAGAGCTGAGAGTTCCCTCTCGTGCAAGTCTAGGGCCAGGACAAGGAAGAGTGCTAGACCTGCACTACTTAGATCAGATTAGAGAGATCAGAGGCCTTGCGTGCTCTATGGGGCCGATCGAACAGGAGTCTGTTTGGATGGAGTTGGACGACTGATTTGCATTGGGCTGAAGGCTGGATTGATGTGGCGGGAGGAGATCTGCATGCTGAGTGCTAAACTTCTTGAGACATTTTTTCTACTACTGTCTCTGAAGTTTGCCGCAATCCTAAAAACAAATTTTTTTCTTTCTATTGCCGTGCCTTCATTGTTAGCCTTCCCTTCTTGGAGTTATTATATCTATAACTAACGCAGCCTTCATTGATGCTCCTCTTAATATAACTCTACCTTTCTGGGATTGATTATTAAGCTGTGAATGACAGATCTATATTTCTCAGCTTGAGAGGGAGTGTAAAATACCGTCCCACTCATCTCAACCATCCTTGGCTCTTGATCCTATGGTCAGCATGAGGATCCATGGGAGGCTCGCTTAGATCACATCGATCTCCTTATATATTTGGATGACTGATTTAGAAAGGATTATATTAGGACAATTATGCATTATTCTGTAATTATTTCATTATTAAGGTATCTTGTATGAATATATAAATATGGATAGTTTTGTATAATAAAATTAAGCTTTTTTCCTCTCCAATTTTCTAAATTTAATTTGAAGCTATCTGCATGCGAATAGCATATTAGATATAAATCGACAACTTGTTAAGAACTTGAGATTCTGTTAGGAAGTAAATGCACTCTCAACTAAATCAGCGAACCGTAATGAGAAATTGGGGAAAAAATCAATTTGTTATGAAGTAGATGCACTTTTAGCCAAATCAATGAATTGTAATGGAAAATTGGGAAGAAAATCACACCACGAATCTTTTTATTGCAAGAAATATGAAAGAAAACAACATTATACAATTTGAACTTCAATTGTAAAGGAAGATCTGGCTCTCTCAAAACCCTAGCTGTTGGGTAGAGTTCTCACAATCTAAGAAACTTTAATTTTAGCAAACACAAGCATAAAGAAAAAAAAAACCCTAATATATATATATATATATATATCCTAAAACATCCCCTTGCTTTTCCCTCTTAGACCCAACCCCTCCACATTCAAAATCTGCTCCCTGGGCCCAATTCAAAGGGGCGGAATTCCCCCTTGTCCGTCGAGCCTAGTCCGCCTGGCATATACCTTGGCCAGTCCATGTTGGATCAACCCTTCTACTACCGGTCCAGGAGGGACTGATATATCAATGCCATCCTCCCCACCTTGTCCTCAAGGTGGAAAGACGGAAACTGCTGCCCTCTCGTATTGCTCTTCTGTGGCGTCATAGTTGGGTAGGTTATCCCATTTTATCAGCACCCTCCCTCTCCCTGCCACACTCCTTTCAATTCCAGTGGTTCTGACATCACCTCCACATTCTTTGTTAGTGTCACAGGTAACTCTGAACTAGATACATGATCCCCGATAACTCTCCTCATCTGTGACACGTGGTGCACTAGGTGTATAGTAGTGATCGTAGGTAACTTCAATGATAAATCATTCCTCCAATCCTCTCCAATATCTTTATTTGTAGGGACGAAGCTTCTGAAATTACTAGATGGACAAGAGATTGGGGGTGGGGTTGAATTATGAAAATTTTATTGCAATAATTAAAACCTAAGTAGGAGTTCTAATTTTTTGGTGTTTTTAAATTTTTAACATGAAAATTTAAAACAACTTCTAAGGCAACGGGCAACAATAAAATCTTTTTCTTTCACAATTTTTCCAAGAAAATATTATGAAATAAAAATGCACGCAAAAAGAAAAACAGTAAGGAAAAAGCACACCGAGATTTTTATAGTGGTTCGGTCAAACCATAATCTACGTCCACTCCTCGGAGTCCTCCGCTCCGGGAATTTCACTACCAACAAATAGCTCTCCTTTTGCCCCTCTCGGCAAGGCGGAGAAGCCCTTACAATACTCCCTTTCACCAACCCGGCGTGGCGGAGTGCCAAGCGCTATTTTCACCCTCCTGGTGAAAGCAGAGAACCTTCTCGTTTTTCTCCCTCATGGAGAAGGCAGAGTACCTTCGAGGTCAACGGACGTAGACGAGTCTCCCCCTTAGAAAGCCTCTCACAAGTTCTTCCCCGGGCCACAGGAGGAGCAAGTTGCAGCAAGATCGGAGCAATCGTGTGATCTCCCTCACACCTCTTCTCCCTTACCAAGCTCACCTTCTCCTTCCTCTCTCAACCCCTCAAACTTCTCAAGAGTTCTCCCTATGATTTTCTCTCTACTCACGTTTTCCTCTTCTGTCTCTCTCTCTCAAAATATGACAAGTTTTACACATAAAAACGGGAAATCCCTGAGATTTCAAAAGTAGCCGTTACAATCGTACAGTACGATTATTGGTCGTACATTACGATATGTACAAACTAGCTTCATCCTGGTACAAAGGTGTACGAATAGTTCAAAAGCTAAACGTACAGTACGATAATATATCGTACGGTACGATTCACAACACACTACTCGTACAGGACGATAGTCGGGACGATCAAATGTCGTTTCTGTTCATCGTATGGTACAATTTACATAGTACCGTACGAATAATGAAAATCAAGGCATCGTCCAGGACGAATTCCGGGACGATCAAATATCGTCTCTGTTCATCGTATGGTACGATCGTAGTCGTACAGTACGATGAGATAAAAAACACAGGATCGTTCAGGACGATCTCCGGGACGATCAGAATTCGTCTCTGTTCATCGTGTTGTATGAAGGGTTTCGTACAGTACGATTTTCAATTTGTAATTAAGCCTTGATTTCTTGCACTAATCACAGGTTAAATTAAGTATGTATTTAAAATAGATCGTACCGTATGAACGTCGTCGTACAGTACGAACGACGCAAAATATCATACTTAACTTATCATGACGGCTAGGGTTTTGGATTTGAAACAGATCGTACCGTACGATCGTATTCGTACAGTACGATGTGTTTACATAACATGTGTTATAATAGTAGATTGTACAGTACGAAATAAATTCATACAGTACGATTACCAGATAATGAAAAACTATATTTTTTACTTTTAAAAAACCCTCTCCCCCTGTGTGTGTGCATGATTGCTCAGCTTACCTGTAGTTTGTGGCCAGACTCAAAAAAATAAAAAATAAAATAAATAACAAAATACATTGTCCGACTCATACTCCTAATCCAACTAGTCTTGAGTCTTCCCGTTGTCCTGAGTGGCTTGTGATCTTCCTGAAATGTTAGTACTCACGGACAATAGCAAACATTAAATGATATTCAATAAAAAGTAGTTTAGGCAACATTATTTGGCATCATCAAAATCTCAACCTCGGGGTCCTGGGTCGCAACAGCTTCAAGTATACTATATCCCTTTTCTCAAACTAGATGTCCTTCTTGCGTCCATCCGTCCGCTTCATGATCTGCTGAGTCCTCAACAAATGCCTTTGTTAGCCAACACCTTATCCCTCTTCTCCAAGTACTGCTCTATTGACGAGACTGATGTGTTACTCTGCCCAAAGTGTACCAAGTGAGTCAAATCTTTTCTATACAATACTTTGAAAGGAGTCATCTTTGTAGTTGAATGATATGAAGTATCATAGCAGTACTCTGCCCATGCCAGTGGCCCATAGCCGAGGTGTCTTGATGCAAAACATCGTAGGTACATCTCAAAGCTCCTGTTTATCCCCTCTGTCTATGGGTAGTAAGCGGTGCTCCTCTTCAGTATTGCCCCCTGCAGCTTGAGTGGCTATCTTAAAAAGTGACTGAGAAACACCTTATCTCAGTTGGACAATATAGACTCTGTTATCCCATGCAATTTGATTACCTCTTTGATGAATGTTGGTGCGATTTTCACTATCGTGTGCAAATGTCATAGGGGAATGAAAAAATCATACTTGCTCAATTTGTCCATCACCACCAAAATCATTGTAAACCCTTTAGATTTGGGTAGCCCATCTATAAAATTCATGGTGATCTCCTCCCACACTACCCATAAGAGCTAGAGGTTACAGTAACCGTCCCGGAGCCATGATCATGTATTTGCTCTTCTGGCACATCTCATATCTATCCATCATCGCCGTCACATACTTATGCATCCCCTTCCAATACAATTATGCCACCAACCTCCTATATGTCTTTTGCTCCCCTAAATGACCCCCAACCGCTCCCGTGAAACTCCTGTAGAATGTGAGAAATATGGATTGAAGTCTATGACAACACAAATCTCTTCTAGTACAACAATCTTCCTCTAGTGAATAACTAGGTTAGTTGCTCATCCCTTCACAGATTTGCCCTAATCTTCTTCAGTTCCTCGTCCTGAACACTCTCCTCCTCAATAGCTCTCCAATCCAACATCAATGGTACCGAAATGGCTAACTCTTGGAGCTCCCCCATGCATATGGACAAGACGTCAGCTTCCTAGTTCTCTAACCCTGACCTGTAATGGATCTCAAAATCATATCTCAATAGCTTCGACATCCACCTTTGATGCTCCTTGGTCACTGTCATTTGCTCTAACAAGTACTTCAAGCTCCTTTGGTCCGTCCTGACAATGAAATGTTGGCCCAACAAGTAAGGCCGCCTCTTCTGAATGGCTAACATTATGACCATCAATTCCCTCTCATAGACTAACTTCAACCTTGCCCTGACTGTCAACACCTGATTGAACTAGGAAATGGACTTGTGATTCTGCATAAGCTCTGCCCCTAATCTATACCTTGATGCATCAGTCTCCATCATTAAAACTTGGCTAAAGTCTGGTAGGGCCAAACCAGTATCATGGTTATTACCCACTTCAGTCTCTTAAAGGCCTGGGTAGTTGCTTCTCCCCACATAAAACTATCATTCTTCAGCTGCTCAGTCAATGGCCAAGCTATAGTGTTGTATCCCCTCACAAAACTCATGTACTATCTGTTCAACCCTAGGAAACCCCTCTGCTCCTTCATAGTCCTAGGTAGCGGCCATTTCAACATAACTTCAATCTTGGCCTAATTAGTGGCCACCCCTTCTTGAGATACCACATGCCTCAATTACTCCACACTAGGCTATGCAAAGCAACACTTCTTCAAGTTGGCATGCACCTGATGCTCCTGTAACAACTCCAGTACCACCCGCAAATGCTACTCGTTCGATCGGCTGTACACCAGGATGCCATAAAAAATAGTACAAATCTCCTGGGGTATGGTCATAACACCTTGTTCATGAGGGACTGGAATGTAGCAGGGGCGTTTGTGAGATCAAATGACATCACCAAGAACTTGTAGTGTCCCTCATGTGTCCAGAAAGCATTCTTCGGGACATCCATCTCTCTCATCTTAATCAGATGGTACTCGGCCTTTAGATCCATCTTTGTGAGCACCACCGCCCCGCATAGCTCATCCAACAACTCCTCTATCACTGAAATAGGAAATTTATTTAGCACATTCTCCTTGTTCAGGGCCCGATAGTTCACACATAATCTCCAGCTCCCATCATTCTTCTTGACTAGTAGGATTGGACTAGAAAAAGAACTCATACTCAGCCTGATGATCCCTGCCTCCAACATCTCCCCGATCAACTTCTCGATCTCATCATTCTAGATTTGAGGGTATTGGTAATGCCTGACACTGATTGGCGAAACCTCCTCCCTCAAGGTAATGACATGCTCCTGCTCTCTCGGTGGTGGCAATCCTAGAGGTGGTTGAAAGACCTCACTGAGCTGCTGTACTTAAAGTGGGATGTCTCCCTCTCTTCAAACCTGATCCCTTCGAAGCTCAACAACTCCACCTCCTATATGGTCCTCACCATGGTTTTGAGAGAAACCATGACATTGGATATTCTGCATCTCCCCTGATCACCGCCTTCTCTCCCTCCACCATCATCTCCATCCTCAGGCTCCCCAATTGATATTGGTGTCAGATTCCTAATAGTTTTCGAAAGTATTTTAAGTCTCATGCTGTGGCATGTCGGCATCTTTCTTTTGAATTGGAGGCATATCTGGATTGCTTGGTGGTGTTGCTTAACTGATGCTAGATTTCCTTTTCAGTCGTATATACTAATATATTTTATTTACTGTTCAGTTGATATTACAAATCCTGAGAATCTTCCACCGACATTTGACTTTCACCTTTTCCCTTCAGATATTGAATAAGTTTCTTTTTTCTGCTCAAATTTTGCTAGAATGGAGCATAACTTCACATTTTTTATGCAGCATTTCTCCAATGCTGGATTTCCTTGTCCAATCATGCAAAGCCCTTCGGATCACTTTCTGCGTGCAATTAATACGGATTTTGACAGGATCATTGCCATGTGTAAAAATTTGCAGGTATTTATTTTGTTATCTCTATTTGTATTTTTGGACAGGATTCGATTCATTCCTTGTACTTCTTGTTATTTGATTTATATGTAGAAAAGTTTCTGTAACAGGATGACAATGGGGATTTCTCATCCGTTAACATGGATACAGCTGTTGCAATTCGAACACTTGAAGCAACATATAAATCTTCAGCGGATTCTACTGCTGTTGAATCCATGATACTGAGACTTACAGAGAAGGTGAATTTGTTTTGATTATTATGTTGGTTGATTGGTTTACAGATTTTGCAATTACGAACTTGAAAGCTCAATTTAGAAATTTGGTGACTCGAATGCTCAACCAGCTAAGTTTAATGAGTCAAATAGCTGTAATCAAACTGAAGCATTTGGAGTATGTTATATTTAATTGCGTTGTTGCTTATTTAAAATGAAGTTTTAGAAACAGATGTTGAGAAAAAGGGGTTTACTAAAACAGAGTTTCAATAATGAAATGTTGTTTGAGTAATATTTTTTAAGTGCTTATTAAAATCTGAAAGCATATATTAATTGTTATAAAAGATTAAATTATTCATCTCTCAAATTTAAGAATATGTAATTAATTTTTTTTTTAAATTAAAAATTTATACTTTGAATATTGAGAATAAAAAAGATAGTCAATAATACAAATGCACAATAAAAATTATGAAAATCATTAATTTTCTAATTTTGCAATAAGCCAAAAATAAAAAATTGTTTTTATTGAATTAATTGTAAACTTATACACAAATTTGTTTATTGTTTGAATATTAATATTTGAAAAGTAATTTTAGCTTTACTTGAATATTAATTTCTGTAGACGCCTCTCCAAAAGAAAAAGTGGCAGACGTGTACTTGGGTGGGGGTAATTTGGACATTTTATTTTTAGAAACTGAGTTTGAAACCGACAAAAAAAAGGAGTTACGTGAAAAGGAATTATATAAATGTTGTTCTTCCAAACATTTAAAAGTAACTGATTTCGACTTCTTGAAACTGAAATCGGAGAAATTAAGCCTAATCAAACGAGGCCTTAGATAGGAAGGTGGCCAATATCTAGTGCAATCTTTAACAGGAGTTATCTAAGGGAAAGCTGATCCAATTTAGTTGACGCAGGTTGCCTATAAAAACCAGTACATTTGTTGGATTTCAGATTTTTGTATGTGATGGGGAAGAGGGTTAAATGCTTATAAGACAAAGCTAGTCTTTAGCCTGCACCACCTTCTATCAATTTGGCCTCAGGATCATCTTCAAAAGACTTCTGCCTTATTAATTTTTATAAATGTGTATTCTTAGCTTATATCATATAAATATAAATAAATAATAAATAAATTATATATATATATATATATATATATATGCATGTATGATTTATGTTGCATAAATAAGCTTTACAAATGTAAGGTGCAGATACAACATATCTGTGCTTTTCTAATCCTAGGTTCATATGCTGCAGGAAGGCCCTCGTCTGAAAAGTAAGGGAAGGCCAAGTGATGTGATACGAATTGCCGTGTTAATGTGGAGGTCTTTATTAACTATGTCCAGAGAGTGGAAGTATTTCTGGATTCGGCTTCTACTGTACATTTTGCTCACACTTTCAATTGGTACAGTGTTTTCCAACATTGGTCACTCACTGTCATCTGTAATGGTAAGCAGATTGGTTCTTTTCAAAGTTTTTAAAGGTCATATACTTCTTTGTTATGTTTATTACTACATTAAATGTCATAATGCAAAATACGTCTTCTTGTCTGTGCTCATTAATGCTGTTGAAAGTCATATTTTTAAGTTGTTTGAAGCTAGAGTTGCACTCTTTGTATCAATTAGTAGGAGCTTTACTTGAAGCATTAATTTATCTATTGTTAATTATGACTTGGATACCATGGGTACAAATAGCAAAGAAAACCATATTAATTAATCCCCTTTTTATACTCCACAATGATGAAGCCTCAAGCATTTGTCATATCTTTTTTCAGTATATTAATCCTCGTGAGCATGAATTTCTCCATGTCTTTGCTTTTGATTTTCCAAGAAAAGTTAAATATATGTTATATTTTAGTATTTAGTGGGCTTCTATGCTGCTATTTATTCCCCTACCTGGCAACACCATATTTAACAAGTTTCTCTGGCACTTTAATAGAACTAATATTTGGTTCATGGGAATTGGGAAATACATATGTAGCCTTTTCCGTCGTCCAACCTTTTATCGTCATTGGAGTATGAAACATGATAGAATAGGATCATTTATTGAGTTTATGGCAAATCTTCGCTTATCTCTTTTGTGTTGAAGCAAAGATTATGACTTATCTCTTTTGTGTTCTCTACAGGTCAGGGTCTCGGCAATATTTGTCTTTGTTTCATTCATTTCACTACTAAGTATTGCTGGACTGCCAACCCATATAAATGAAATCAAGGTAAATGTTTGTTTAGTTCTGCTGTATAATTGTTGGTGTTAAACACCTATGATATGCCAGCTGACTTGATAAGCAGTTAACCTTATCGCCTGGTAGCACACGCCATTTCCTCCTCTCACTGTAGCAGCTGGACTCAAAATTGCTACTTCCATATCAACCATCAGCTGCTAACTAACTCTGTTCATTTACAGAATATATTCCTATGTAACTATATATACTAAGTGTAACAGGGAAGGAACTATGAATGCAATGCAGAACTTTTTGTCTTCTTTCTGTTTTTAGTTTCTATTTACTCTTCTATGAATGCAACTAGCTTACATTTCTTCATGGCATCAAAGCGTGAAGGTTAATCTCATTATTTCATCTTCTGTTATTTTGCATGGGAGATTCTAGGAGCTCTTCTACTCATATTCCAGCAGCCTCAAACTCCTGCACCATGGCTGACACCGTCATACCTTCTCTCAAATTTCTAATGTCTAAGATCAAACACATTGTTAACATTCAACTTAACAATGATAATAACCTTGTTTGGAAACTTTAGATCACAAAATGTTTGCTGCCAACGTTTTTGATGACTTTCTCATTAGTTCTTAGGCTTGTCCACTCAAACACAATCTCTCTCCTGCTGGTGATGTTACTCCCAATTCAACTAGAATACCTGACAACTACTTAATCAGAATTTTTCTTCAGCCCTATTCTCCACTATATCTCCTTCAATGCTTCCCTACATTGTCAATCTACACACCTCTTATGAAATCTGGTCCACTTTTGAGAAATGTCTCCAACCCATGAATTGTTCTAGTGTAACTCAACTTAAGAACGAATTTCATCACATCATCATGAAAGACCCTTACTATGATTCATTACCTCTCCAACGTTAAATCTTTGGTGAACAACATTGCAGCCGATGATCCCCACATTGATTCCGAAGATATCATACTATACATCCTCAAGGGATTGCCTCCTTATTAGTTCTTATCAAGCCATCAAAATTGCAATCCGCACCAATATTACCCCTATTATCCTTGACGATCATTACTCTCTTATATGCAGTCAAGAAATGCAAGCTAGTTGCATTCATGGAAGAGTAAATAGAAACTAAAAATAGAGAGAAGATATGAAGTTTCACATTGCATTCACAGTTCCTTTACTGTATTACACTTTATATATATAGTTACAACAACAATATCTAGATTTTATCTCACTACGTGGAGCCGGCAATATAAATAGTTACATAGGAATATATTTTGTAAATGTGCAGAGTTAGTTTGCAACTATTGGTTAAGATGAAAGCAGCAGTTTTGAGTCCACGATAAGGATGAGAAGCAGAAAACGATACTGTAGTGAGCAGAGGAAGTGGCATTGTGCTGCCATGAGATAAGGTTAATTGCTTATCATCTTGGCTGGCTTATCACAGGTATTTTATGTCAATTTAGTATTTTTTACTGCATGTATTAAGCCGCAAATCTAGTTCTCAGAGATTTCTTTTAAGCAAGTTAATCAACTTTTTGTGTTACCATTTTCCTGCCTCAGGTTCCACCACTTTGAATTTTCTCAATTACGTTCTGACAAATTGACAATGAAGAGTAACAAGTCTATACATGAAATAGTTTTGCTTACTTGAGCTTAAGAAGATTTCTTTTTTTTCCTTGGAAATCTGTATGTTGATGAGACATTTGAGAACAAATTATTTCTTGAGAATTTATGGGAAATTACCTTTCATTTATATTCTTTAAATGTATGTAGCATTTAGAACTAGAATTTATGGTTCCCAATTTTGGTCAAAACTTCGGTCAAGGATTTCAGCCAGAATATCATTTCTATTATTTTCTTCAGTCTTGAAACTGGTATATCATACACATGGCTTCTTTTATTGCAGATATTCACACATGAGCAGTCAAATCAACATTCTGGTGCGATGGTTTTCCTGCTTGGGCACTTCCTTGCCAGCATTCCTTTCATTTTCCTCATCTCGATTTCCTCCACTTTAGTCTTCTATTTTTTGGGCGGGCTCCGGAATGAGTTCAATCTGTTGGTGTACTTTGTCCTCAACATCTTCATGTGCCTCTTGGCAAATGAAGGGTTAATAATGGTTGTTGCCTGCATCTGGTTTGAGGTTTTTTCATGCCTCTTAACCTTGGTGTTTCTTCATGTAAGTTGCATTCTGGGTATCTTCTTTGGTTCTTTCAATCTAATTTAATATTTTTATTAGATAATAGTTGTATAATTCATCTAACATATCACTTCTGTTTTTCCTTTTTTTCCCCCAGGTTTTAATGATGTTAGTTGCTGGTTATTTCAGGATCAGAAATGATCTTCCAGAGCCAATTTGGAAGTACCCATTATCTTATGTTGCTTTTCACACTTACTCTGTTCAGGTCAGAATAACATCTCTAGAATTAATTTTAGGCAATTGTGCAAAGTTCTGTGGAATTCCTTTTCACTTTATACGCACTTTCCTCTATTTTACTCGTAAGTATCAATACCGTGCTACTTGAAACTTGGTATAGGGTGCATTGTAGAATGTCAACCAACATGACCTTTGACAAGTAGGTGCATTTTATTGAAGGTTTCAGAGGAGGAATAGCATAAAGACTTAGTAGAATAACAAAATTTTGACGGAACATTATTTTGTTTATAAATGACACAGCGACATAAAATATTTTAGAGCTGCAGGTGGCAGGTGCTTGCTGTCTCTTATGCTTCGTTTGTGACGACGGCTTTCTTACTGCTTCTTAAAGCAGCTTTCTTGTACAAAAGTTAAATTTTTTTTACTAAAATGCTGTTTTAAGAAACAGTAAGAAAGCCACCCCAAACGAAGCCTTAGTCTAGATTTGCCTTTGAGGCAAGGAGAGTTTTAAGGGTTCATTTATAGAGTGGTTTAAGATTAAATGGAGGAAAACGTGTATCTTCACACTATGTATGTCCATTATCTCATTTATTGATTCATTGCCATTTGAAAAGTTTCTTGTCAAAGTGCTCTAATATTGTTTGTAGAGGAGTACAAATATGTACTTGAGGAACTATGCACATGTGATTTCACTCTCCCTCTGGTATTGAATTTATCTCTAGCAATGGAGTATACAATAGAACAGCCATAAGTTTAGTTCATGGTGCAACATGGCACATGATTATGTATCAATTTATGTCACAAATCAGATGGTTGGGTCTGTTGGTGAGAATAAGCTGATGGTTCTTCCTTGTTTGAGGACGTCTACATGCAGAAAAGTGGTGACTTTGCAGTTGTTGCAACTATATATAGCTCATCATTCATGGCCTTATAATTGCTTGAGATCTTTTAAGGTCAAGAAAGATGTCTGAGCCAAGAAAATTAATAAGAAAAGATTTTTATAGAGTAGTAAGAGTGTAAGGAGAGATAGTTAAGTGGCAAGGAGGGAGAAATAGAGAAAAGTTACAGTAGAAGGAAAATGAACTTGACAAGATGTATGATATTGTGGATTTTTGCTAAGTTTGTGATAAGGTATGTACCCACTTAACCCTTCTTGGCATACACCCAATGGTTTGATTTCTGAGACAAGGGATCCATCCTCTATTCCCAGGCAAGCGCACTTATTGAAGGCCACAATTAGGAGAGATAAGCTTAGGATCTTTGAAATCCACCAATTTTCATGTTTTTGGTCCTCAATTTGCTATTATTAGGCCAATTCAACATTGAGTTGGATGATTTTCTATGTGCTCAGATGAGACAATATGAGACCATCTCAGCTTACATGACTCACAAGCGGATATTATTATTAAGGTATCCCTATGCAAACACCATGCCTTAAGGTGTAAAGAAGTGAGGTAAGTGCCTTGCCTTGGCCCTTGATTGGGAGATGAATGTTAATGCTTCAAATGTTCAAAACGAGTTAATTTTTTAATGTTGATAACTTGACACTTGATGATGCGAAATGAGTATCATGTGCCTTTGAAAACAAGTGGATCAAATATAGGTGCAAGAGTTAAATTTAGAGTAGTAAATCTTAAAGATGAAAGGCGAGCCTAAGAAAATAGAGTAAGAGATGGGGGTTACAAATTAGAAATGTTGAAGAGAGCATGGATTATTACAAAGATAAAATTAATAATATTAAATGAATAAACTTTTAACTTAAAATATTTAATTATTCTTGTTTAAAAATAATCTATTTAGCATGCCTTTTTGAAAAATGATATGAAACTTAAAAATAATATATTTTACCCAATTATCATTAATATCTCTCAATTAAATTAAATTTATGAATTGTATGATAATATCTTTTTTAAAGCACCTCTTCTCTTGGGCAAGCATCTCGTGCATTGGCAACTATAATCTTGAGTGCACTTAATGCTTTGGAAACACTTAGCTTAGCCTAAATATTACGTCTTGCTTTTGCCATGGCAATCATATTTTTTGAGGCTGCAACCTTGCCAACTTGATTGATGTATCATAATCATTGGATCACGTTTTCATAATCATTGGTACCATGTTTATCCATTTTAATTGGGTAGATGGGAATCTGATGTTGTCGTTTGGCTTAATTAGGGCTACTAAATTGGTCTAGTGTAATTTTGTTTATATTTATCCCCTCACTTTTGTGCCATGAAGAATTACCATTATGGTGGTAGAATAGTCTTTATCACAAGCTAGATTTGAGGGTCTGATGTCGCGGATGATCTTGGGTTTACTTAAATAGAGGTTAACGAACCCTCATCTTCTTTCCTAAATGATATAACTTATTTTAGGAAAGCCCCCCAATTATTGCAAATCTGAAATTAAATAGGATTTGATTTTAAATCCACATTCAACGTATGTGGATGCATTATATGTATGTGAACACATTCAACGTATATGGCCACATTCTACATATGAGGACTCCTTTTCTTTTTCCCTCCTTTTGGCCGGCTCCCTCTCCCTCTCTCTTTAATTGCTTCATTCCCAATTGGGAACTCCAATTAAGGAGCCAATTGGTCGCCCCCTTCCCCTTATTCCCTCTTTCTCTCTTTCATTTTAGGGAAATTAAAATCAAGTTCCCTAATTATCTCCATCATCAAATCTGAATTTAATTGCATAAATTTGAATTGAATCCCTCCTAGTCCACAACCAAAATCTGAACCAAAACAACCCTATTTACTTAGCCTTGGCCGACCACTCAACTTCCTCCTCCTGGACATTGACTCCTACAGAATTTTGTCAACTTAAAGGCTGCTGTCCCACCTCTCTCGTTCACCCAATTTGCTGTCCAAGAGCAGTTCAAGTTGCTGTCCAGAGATTTCAGCCATTCCTCTTTTTGCTGCCCTGCATTCCGGGAGATTCCAGATTACTGTCCAAAAATTTCAGAAAGTCTCCCTCGCTGTCCTGCTGTTCGGAAGATCCCCATTTTCTGTCCAGAAATTTCAGCTCTCCGTATTTTGCCGTCCACTCTCTTCTGAGTTTCAATGAAAGTGAACTCTCTCTCAAACTTTATTCCTTCTCGATCCTTCTCAATTGTGGCATCATAAGATTGTGCAAATTTTCTCCGTAAGCTGACTTATTAAGAGTGTGAGTGAGTGGATCCAAATAGTGACTAGTCTAAATGTTAATTTAGGGATCTACTTTGAAAATCCTCCATGTTATGCTAAGCTTGATTGAATTGGTTAATGTTATGATCCTAAATGATTATCATGTAATTTGACCTAAGCTACATCACCCCTCTTATTGTATTTAATCTCTGTTTAAATTGCTAAAAGTTAGAATAATTATTGTTGTTCTAAAGGCGTTTAATTTCAACATTGGATATTTACATACGCATCTAGTTCTACATCAGTTTAACATCTCAACTTGGTTTTTAGTCTTTGGGTTGTGTACCAGAATAACTTTGAAGTGGATGCCCTTTTGTTGATTGAAAACTTGCAGGTTCTTATTTGATAATATAAGGCAATTGTAATCATGTTGATCAAAGGATGCTTATATCAACATTTGATGTCTATTTAGATGAAGCATCAAGTGATGACAAAATTTGTCTTTGATAAGGACTTAGCTTCAATCAATTTATTGAAGTAGTCAACAATGAGAATGATGCATTTTTTTTTGGGTGTTGCGTAGGGCTGGGCTCGATCCCTTGGAGTGGTTGGACACTTGCTGAATTGAATTAGATCCATAATACCTCATTTTCTTGCATGCAACACATGAACTCCTAGAAAGAGGTGGAGACCTTCAAAAGAAGGGCCGCTAAGGACAGGCGAGTAAGCATTTTTTTTTTGTATGTTGAAGTCCTTATTATAGGCTAGGGTCCCCAATTAAATGGCTTAGCTTCTACAGTGCTTGAGAGAAGGGACTGCACTTGTCCCCCAATTATAAAATTAATCGATTAAGAGCAACTACTTGCCCAATTAGCTTCTATAACTGGATGGTATGCAAGAGGATCATCTCAAGCACCATCTTCTCCTTGTCAAAAAGTTGACCTTGATTCTCTTGCCTGTAATTTAGAAAAAAATAAAAATAAAACTTCTATTCTTGCACCAAATACTACAAATTTAATAGTGTTAGGTTGAAGATTGTACATTCTCAAGGCGCAAAAGTTCTCAATAAGTTACAATGGTACTCTTCAGCCTTGTTCTTAATTAAAAGATTGTTGATATGGAACTAGATTTCATCCTTTTTGTTTTATAGTTTTACATGTCATTGTAATAATGAAGATGGTTTTCTCTTCTGTTGAAGTGCAATCCAAATTTGGTGTTTGGTGGAGAAAATGTTGAGAAAGCTGATGATTTGAGTTCTCAATGACAGAGTCAATCAGGTTATTGTTATGAGGGTAGGGGAGAGGAGAGAGGGGAGTGGAGGTGTTCAAAGTTGAGGTCTTAGTGAGGTTTAAAGAGTCAATTCGCATGCTTTGCTTCCCCTTACCTTCATCATATTGGAAATTCATTAATAATATTTTAATTCTTGACTAACCCTAACTTCATCAGCTTAAAATAGGGCAAGCTTTGAAGGTCACTTAAAATAAAGTCATAATATGGGGAGTATGACTGAATGAGAATAGGAAGAGATGAGCTGAGTATGTATGTTTGGGCATCATGTAGAGGATGCGAGCTAAGAAGTAGCCACTCAAAGAAGGCTTAGATCTTTGCTTGGAGGCTGTTTGGTTAGAAGCAAAGTGAAACTTATGAACTATCACTTAAGAATGTGGTAGGTGAATGTATAACATTATAATCACAACATATTGGAGGGACTAAGAATTATGCTCTAAGCTTGAAATTTGATCAATAATTGCACTAAACTTCATTTGACTTGAAATCAAAGTTGATTTAGAATGATGATAGGAAACACTTGAAGATTTCAAGTAAATCTTATCCATCTCAGAAAAACAGCTAGAAATTTCCACAAATCCAACGGAAAATCAGAGAAAAACAGGAATTTTATTGCAAGAACACAAACTAACCGAAAAAAATAATAAGATACAATTGACCCTCTATTCGAGAGGAGGATCTATCTCTCCCAAATCTCTAGACGCCGCTAGAGCCCAAAAGAAACCACGAGATATCAAATTTCAGCCAAATTCAAGATGCCATAACCCTAGGAAAACAAACTATTTAATGCATACAATTCAAAAGGAAATTTCTAAACGGTAGTGCAAGGATTAAAAGTTTGGATAGTTTTTATAAAATAAGATTAGGGTTGAAATTTTATGTAGACTTCCAAAAATTTCACGTTATGCATGTATAGTGTGATTTAGAGGAGGCCAATGCCACAAATATGAAGATGAAGTTCATGAATCAGAGTTTTTAGATCAGCATCGCAAGAAAATTGTGAACTAAAGCCAGGGTAAATGCAAGCTATCTTTGGTTGATTCATCTGAAGCTCAGCATTTCAGGTTGAACTTAAAAGTTTCATTAACCAAAATCTAGCATAATTATTGTAGCATGAAAATTTCCCAATACAACAGAAAATGAATTTATTACCACAAAAAATTCCATTTGTCGCATCTTGTCTATCATTTTTCTCAAAACAGAATCACCACTTGCATGAAATCTTCAGCACTTCATTACTGCCTATAGAACACACTAAACTATAAGAGGGATATATATATATATATATATGTGTGTGTGTGTGTGTGTGTGTGTGTGTCCAAAGGGTGTTATAATTTATAGTTTCAAGATTTTCAAGTTATAATATTTGTGTTATGTCCATCTCGTAGCTTATGTCAATAGATCTACTTCATAGGCCCCACCACAGCACGCCTTAATCAAATCACTTAGAGACAATCTCGTCCTTATGGCCTCAAGAAACTTCCAATATTCTAAGAGAAACATTCACAACATTATTTTGATTCACAACTTATAAGACCATGTCACAGGAAATATACCATGTGAGTGGCTGTTTGATAAAAGAAAAGAAAATGAAAGAAAGCCATAAGAATCCAACAACAACTGTTATTAATGACTTCATCGCATCGATCAAAATAGTACTAAAAAAGGACAAGTTCTCCACTATTTTAGGTTTTTTCATTCTAATTTTTTTTATCAATATAAATACCACTTCATCTAACAATGCCCTCCATATTTATTAATCCATTCTAAGGATTAAGGATTATTTTCCAATTTGCATTAGTTTTTAAAAATTCTGAACAATCCTTTTTCTCATTCATGTCTCCTATTTCCTTCATCAGCTTTGCTCTGTACCCGATTAGCAAGGAATTAGATTGGAAGGACATAGAAGCGAAAATAAAAGCCAAAAGTTTAAAAAAAATGGGGATAAGAAGTCAGAAAAAAAAGTGCCACCAAATTGGCTTCTTGCCTTGGGATATTACTCTTGAACCTCAATAGTTATGGTTGCAACTTGATTTGTATGCCATAAAACATTCAATGAAAATCATGAAAAGAATGTTATGTTTGCTTTGTTGTACAAGATTTGACATTTTTATGTCTTTAGGTTTGAACTAATGTCTAGAATTTTATTGTTCAATTTTCACCCTAAAACCGCCACCTTAATCACCAAAACTATGATGGACAATATAAATGCTTATGAAATTCATTCATATTGCTAAGAGTGCAATGGTTTCTTGCCTCTAATGTGCCTGGTTACCCCTAGTCTCGAGCTATATTATGGTTGCATCTTGATTAGTATCCTATAAAATATTTAATGAAAATTATCACAAGGATGACATTTTGCTCTATTGTTTGATCTTTGACCTTTTTATTCCATTTAACATTGCTCAATTTCCAATCTAAAACCGTCACCTTAATCTCTAAAACTAAGGTGAACCTTATGAATCCTTATGATGTTCATTCTTTTTATTGAGAATGGGATTTGCTACTGCTTCTAATTTAGTTAAACCTTTGAAAAACTTTCAATCTAGTCATCTTCAATTTAGTAAGTCCCTAATAACTAATGTAGGACCACTTGGTGTTACCAACTCTCCCAAAATTCATACTGTAAGAAGTGTGAACCAAGGCTTTATAGCCAATGCAACAACAATTACATCGACCATGGGATTCAAACATGAACCTCCACTAAAACACAGTCCTCAAACTATTATGCAATAATCACATGAAGAGACATACATGCATGGAAACACAACACATGGGACAAACCTTCAAACAAATGGGATGCTCTTTTCATGTTAATCCCAATCTGTTACAGTAAATTGTCAAATCCATTACCCTTCCGTAGTACTACTTCACAAAGGACCACTTGGCAATACCGGCCCTCCAAGAAATTCAAACTTATGAGAAGTGCATAACTTAGAATTGTTAACTAGTAGACTACAAGCTACAACTCTATAAGATTTGGGCGTGAACCCATCCCAGAGGAAAGGTTGTCAAAGGTACTCATTATGCATTCTTTACACGTACTTTTAAAGCAAGACGATAAAGCGTGGAGCCACAACATTTTACAACGAAAAGTGTGTGCTTCGCAATGCTATGCGAAATGAAGCAAAATGCTTTGCATATGCTTCCACCACGATCACAAGAGCAACTGGACAATTGTGCAAATGCAATGCAATGGTAAGTACAAGTGCGCACAAGAAAAATATGTACGATATGAAGTGAGAATGCAGGACGCTCAGAACTCTAAGGGAGGAAGAATCACACTTTGCACAGAAATGGGATATAACTATAACTCAAAACTAAAGGTATTGCAAGATGGAAACTATGCACTATTCCAAGAGAACATGTGCAGTGAGATGGATTAGAAGTTTCTAAAATTGACAATTTGTGAGAGAAAGTTAGAATCAAGAATGATGGGAAATAGAGGGGAAGAGAAAATTATAGAATAAATATCAAAAATAAATCTAAATAATGAAATTAAATAAAATAAAATAAACATTCACTAGTTTTATAAAATCTTAGACTTAGACCAAGCCTTAATCCTTTATTTAGTTTAAATTTGGCAAATAAAATGAGTACATTATATATAAATATAACATATACAAGTCCCTGGCACTTCACTTCAAGATTTGTGCAATTAAAAAAAAAAAGAAAAAGATCGCATATAACATTGCATTATGCTCTTTCAAAACACTACCCAAAGATCACTCGGTACATATCTCCTAACTCATTGGGTACAACCATATGGAGGGACAAACCAACATGTGGTACCACAACAAATAGGACACCCTCGGACACCCTCCATTAATCTACCCCTCTATGGACCATGGTGGGAGATTGAACTCGCAACTCATGGAAAAACATTAAGTGTGCAACTTACCTATATAGCCACAACCATCAAATACAATGCCTACAAGATGCAAACATGATCCTAGCCTTCGTGTCAAAGCACTAAATAATTCAATGTGCAAGGGTTAATTTTTTCTTCAACACCCAAAGCACAAAGCGAAGCAGCGCATTAACTAAAGTGCTCATTACTCATATAAGTATAATGGTACATTCATTAACAATTATAAAATATGAGTATTTAATAGATAACTCATAAAACGAAAATGTTGCAAATATTTAATTTTTTTAAAGACAATCTTTGAAAAAGTGGATTTATAAATTGAAATTTCTAATAATTTTTATTGTGCCTACGAATCAATGAATGATTTCAAGTTTAAAACAAATATAGTAGTCATATGTTACTAAGAAATAAAACTTCAAAATTGCACAAAAACGCATTTAATTCATAACAAACGTTATATTGAAATGCATAAATTATCAATTTCCATAAACCATGATTAAGGGAATTCATTAGTTATTATCCTCTATTTCATTCACATAATATTGTCTCCTTC